TAATTTATTATTAAATTAAATAATGAATTTTAGAACGCCTCAATTGATTGTAACGTTTATTTTAAAGCGTCGGTGTTTGAATTCTATTCCCCGCAGAATTAAACTTATTTTTCACAAATGCTGGCGACTTGGTACTTTTAAGCGACTATCTTATAATCGCTTAAGACAGGCAACGGAGCGAGCCTAATCATAAATGATGAGCGCTATTAGAAAATTCTATGGATTTTTTCGAAGAAAAAAAAGAACTAAATTTATGAAAATAAAAAAAAAACAAAATGAAAATTAATTAAAATTAAAATAAAATGAAAAGACAAAATTATAAAAAAATTCAAAAAGAATAAAAAATGACTGAAAATGTACAATGTAAATTAAATATATATAAAAAATATATGGTATATAAGATTAAATAAGATTAATTTAGAAAAAAAATAATTTGTCACCTGAATTTCGATGATCCTTGAAAAAACTCCAAACAGGATTCGATTTTCTTCGTCCAGGAACACGTATCCAAGTTAATTGATTCTCTCGAATTTTTAAATCCTCTTTCGTTAAATTATTTTTATTTCTTTTTATAGATAATATTTCCCACTTATATTGAATAGTACCATCGGTTTCTAGGTTACTATTCGATATATCGGACGCCGACGTTGTTTGCCTCATTTCTTTTCTATTTATAATAATATCTGAAAAAAAATTTTTTTTAAAAAAAGAAAAAATTTTAAAAATTCAACTTAAAAATTCAAATCTTTTTTTTTCATTAATGTATTTTAAGAAATTTTATTAAAGCAGAAAAAAATATATTTATAAAAATATATGAAAAATTTTTATTTTTTTTAATTTTTTAATTTTTTATGCAAATAAAAAATCCATTCATTTATTTTACGTAATTTTGTAAAATTACGTAAAATTAGCGAATGAATTTAATTTTGATAAAATTTGATAATTTGATAATTTTGTTTGAAAAGATTTGTTGCAAGTATTTACTTCTATATTAATAATATTTTGCTATGTTGCTTAAATAAATTTTAAAATAACAAAATTAATAATTGATAAGGAACGAGTTTAAAGAAAATTGATTATATCTATTTGGCATACATATTAGCGATGAAAGTGTAGATGAATCGCTAGAGTCACTTGGATTTTTTAAAGAAAATTTTATTTCCTTGACAAGGCCAAAGAATCAAACCTCTGGTTCCAGTGCTTCTATGGTTCTACTTCTCACCTATCGTCTAATATATTTCTGTCGCCAAATCCAAATCCAAGTGTTTTCCTAATAAAAATTTTTCTGGTCCAACAAGCCTAATTAGAAATAAGTTTAGAAAAAAATCATATCTTCTTTTCGATAAATTTTAATGTTTCAATAAAAGTAATTAGCCTCGATCGAATTTATAGAAAAAAAATTAAGAACAATAATTAAGGTAATAAAGCCGTAAACGTTGGCTATCAAAAGATTTAAGACTAATTTATAAGCCTATAAGATTTTATATGGCTTTATTGGCGTAGATTCAGGAGTATTTTTTATTTTATTAATAATAAATTTTTCTTATTTTTCAAGATACAATCGATTAAAGTTCAGATGCTGTCAATAGAAAAAAAAATCTCTGTTGTTTAATTTTTAGTTAAACGGATTGCTCTCCTAGGAAAGTTCCACTCGCTGAAGATTCATCAAAAAAACTAGCACAATAGGGAAATCGTTGTTGTTCTATGCACGTTATTAATTAGTTAGCATCAATTATGTGGTATATAAGATGCAAACAAGAACAAATGATAACAAATGATTATCACTTCTTTTTCTTCTAAGAGCTCTTATCATTATTGGTTAGGCTGGCTCCACTGGTTACAAGTATAAGACAGAATAAGATATTTCCAAGCTGTGCGATCTGATACTATCGTCGACATTAATAGAAGCCATTCCTTTTTCCATCGTTTAAGTCCATATATTGCTGTTCCACCTATAAGCTCGAAATTTTTCCTGTGTCAGTCCAGATTGATTGGTCCATCTCACTTTTAACGCCAATCATCAAAAAATGATTATCACATTTAATATCAGTTAACTTAAGTTCGGGTAAATTATACGTCAAGTAAAAGTATATTGAAGTTTCATGCAGTATTGAATTTTCATGAAAAATATATTTCTATATTCCTATTTTAATTAAACTATTTATTAAAAAAAAATTATTTTTCGCAGCGTTTTTTTAATGTTAGTTTATTTATTATTTATTATTATTTTTTAATATTTTTAATTTTAAATATAAATTCGAGGAGAATATTCAAAATATTTGATTTAAAACATAATAAACATAAAAAATAAATAATAAAAAATCAAAAAATAAAACGGCGCTAAGTAAATAAATAATGTATAATTTAGTGATGCCTGCGACTCATCTATACTTCTATGGCCAAGAAGAGATTGTTGACAAAGTTTGCCTGGTTCGGCGATTATCACATCACGTCTTTTTCTTCTAAGAACTCTCACCATTATTGGTTAGGGTGGCTCCACTGGTTACAAGTATAAGACAGGATAAGACATTTCCAAGCGATCTGTGATCTGATACCATCGTCGACAGCAATAGAAGCCATTCCTTTTTCCATTGTGCCTGCCAATAATGAGCCTAAGCCAGAAATAGTAAGCGATCTTAGGAAAAAAATTGTTTTAATATGTTTGTTCATATCAAAAATTTTACAAAAATCTTATCTTTATAATCTTTACGTTTAAAATTAAATTATAGAAAATTTTAAGCCTTTAGGGTTTCTAATTTGAATTACTTTTAATTTATCATTAAATGATGGTGTTGTTTTTGATATTAGCGACGATTATCATTTGTAAACGATAAGCTTATTTTAGGGCGATTATAGAGACATGCGAAATTGTATATATCTTTTAAGTAAAAAAAAAACTGGCAATTCGATAATTTTTCTCCTATTTGACTCAAACCTCAAACTTCTTCTTCGATGTGAGTCGCCAGCGTCACTCGAATTTTTCCAACAAATTTATCCCAACGAGGAATAAAACCGCAGCATTGGCGCTCCAAACTTAGCAACAACCACTAAGCCATTCGATTCGAAAGTTAAATAGCTAATTATATTAAATTTTTTAATTTTTCAAATTTTTTAAATAAATTCCTCAAAATATTTTCGCTATATTAATTGTAAAAATTTATAAATTTTATGAATAAATTAATAAATGAAAAAAAAGTTTTCGAAATTAAAATTTCCTTAAAAAAAAAAAAAACAATTCTATTATAGAAGATTAAATAGAATAAATAAATAATTTTTTGAAAGGGATAACGTGATTTATTTCGTAAAAAAAAAAATTTTTTTTTAATGAACAAAATAGGGCAAAAAATTGTGACAGAGGTCGGCGTTGGAGAGGGGAAACGAGGTCATTTGTCGTTTATGGTGAAAAAAAAATTTATTTTCTTTTATGCAAAAAAAAAAGAAGAAAAAAATTGGCGATTAACCGGAAATAGGTCAGACATACGTTATACGTTATGTTATAATTAGTTTTTTCTCCCTCATTCCTCCCCCCTCCCCCTCTAATTTAATAAGGCTGTAATTCATTAGCTTATTCATTTCACGAATAGACTTATAGTAATTTTTCATACTATGGTAATACCACAGATTATTTTGCATTTCTTTGCTAATGTATTTTGTATAATCAATTTTTTTTTTTCCGTAATTGCCCAAAATGATTTCCATAGACCTTTCGCATATGGTGGCCAAATTGCTGAACCTTCATGAAATTTTTTCTATTTTCGAAAATTTATAAGTAACCTTCGCACCACAAATCGTTTATGAATGAATAAAATAAAATTATGAGCAAATACATAACAGCTGTTCGAAATAAGCCATTTGCAACCATAAAATTTGAAGGAAAATATGCAAATTTTGCAAAAAAAAAAAAACCCTTCGATCTTAGCCAAAAGGCCAAATCGTATTCGCCTCAGATATTTATATTTTTCAAAAATTTTTTTCAAAATTTTAAATTATTATTATTAAATATTTTAGAATTATTGCTAAAATGGTTAAAAGAAAAGTTTTATATTATAGTTTTAAGCTATAATATAATATATATTTTTTTCCAATATTCTATTTCAATTCGAAAATTTCCAAAAATTCAAAATTTTTTCCAAAAAATTCTTTACAAAAAATTTACAAAAAATTTGTTTAATTCATTACGAAATGCGAATGCGTCGAGCTCATCGCATTGTAATGGCACACTATTTAAATCGTTTATTATTTAAAAAAATTCAAACTATAAGAATAAAATTTTTGCGATCGACAAAAATAAATATTTTATTAAAATTTTTTAAATAAAAAGAATCTAAATCACATGAAAATAAATGAATTTTTAACAATAAATAACTTTAAAACCTTAAAGAAAATGAATAATATTATTCATTAATATTTTAAATATTTTATTTATTTTATTTAAAATGTTGATGAATAATATTCTTTATTATTTTATTTAAAATTAAAATTAAAATTAAATGACGAAAAATATCCGAAAAAAATATATAAAAAAAAAGAAAATTAACTGAAAATTCAATTAAGAAGAAGAAAATTGAGAGGAAATTTTTTTAAAAAAATTAAAAATTATGTAGGAAATATTGACTTATAAAAAAAACCTTTATTGGGCTATATTTTAAATAAAAAAATTTATGCATATACAAGATGAAAACGATGTTGAAAATGATATGTCCAATCACATTGCTTCGTCTAAGATCACATTGCTTCGTCTAAGATCAAGTGACGGATGGATCAGTCTCGTCTCTTACCAGTAATCATTAAATCGGTGAATTTAAAGTGAAATTTAAAGGGTGAAAGGGATCCACTTGTATTTTTATCCTCATATAACTTTCTGGTGAAAAAGTCATCTTCACCTTAATACTACACACCAGAGGTAGAAATATTCTATCTAATACATATCGCCAAGACATAATATAAATATATATATATTAAACTTATACTAGCCTATCAATTTTCAATAAAAGCATATTTTAATCAATGCCTGCTTCACTAAGAAAATCCAAAACTGCAGGAAAACTTGATAAATCGTTGAAAATAGTCCTTTGAGGCACGGATAAAACAGATCGTAACATAAAAATAAGTTGATGATGAAAGAGATCATAAGGACATCCGTACTTTAAACTAATATCTAACTGAAAAAGAAAGAATTCATATCGAACAAAAAATTTTTAAAAATAAAAATTGAAAGCTTTGAATCCTAAAAATAGTTGAAAAAATCTGGGAATGCTTCAATAAATACAAGTGTTTTGAGAAATAATCAACAAAAAAAACATTAAGCATTAATTTACCCAATCTTTAACACACTGAATTGGAGTATATTTGTGGCCAGCGAACATTGCGGGATTTTCCAGTAAACCATTTGCTACCATTATTCCTAAATTCGTAGTCGCAGTAAATTAAATGAAAGATTTAATAATAGAGTTTTAAAAATAAATAAAAGAAATTGAAATAGCCACCAACCATCAGCATTAGTATATTTTGCAACCGTTAAAGCTTGTTGGTAACTCTTAATACCGCCATTTGCGATCACCGGAATATCTAGTGCAGATTTAATGAGTCGAATAGCATCGTAATCAGCTGGTTCAGCCCTTTGATCAGGAGTACGACCATGCACAGTTATATATGATACACCAGCCCTTTGAGCACGATGGCACAATTCTACTGTTTCTCTTAAATCAGCCCTTAGTCGAATTTTCACAGATATCTAAAGAAACAACCGATTCTGATTTTTTAACTGATTTTTAACTAATTTTTTAACAAAAAATATTTGAAAGTTTCATGAAGTTTGCGTAAATTTACCGCAAAATGAGGATCATTTATTCGTCGACGAGTAACTGCAATCATATCTGCAATGACCTCGGGATCACTCAGTAATTTGCTGCCATACCCCTCACTTGTGACACCTGATTTAGGACAACCACAATTGAGATCAATACCATCAGAATATCTAAAAAGAAATCATGAAATATAAAATAATAAAAATAAACACTGAGATGATTGTAACCTATGTATAAATTCAGCTGCAGTCGCGAATTCTTCAGGATGATTGGAAGCGAATTGCACGATTGTCGGTGAATCACCTTAAAAGCTGATTATAACCAAATTAAAGGACCAAATAAAAAAAATTTGAAAAATTACCATTACAAGTCGTATATTCGACATTTCGACAAATTTCCGATGCAATAAAACTTTTCGCATAAATCATAGGAGTATAAGCAAGATCTGCACAATAAAGACGGACTAGAGAACGGAAAGGCAACCTAAAACTAATAAATTTTAAAATTAGAATATTTGTAATATTAATAGAATATTAATAGAAATCTCTTTTGTCGTTTAGTATGTCCTATGTTAACCTTTTTTTTTTTTAAATAGCCAAAAAAGGAGCCAAAAAAGGATTAAAGGAAAGAGTATAAAAGCAAAAGAGGTAAATCAACAGAAACTAAACAGAAGTTGAAAGCAATCACGAAGAATGGCTAATAATTTTATAAAAACCAAAAAATAATATATTTATTAAGCTAAATAACATAGTTATTTTGAAAATATAAGGTGGAAAATAGGCCGAAATGCATGTGGCAAGTAGGCGAAAAATATATTTCCACCAAAGTTTTATAACCTGGTTCAATACCTGAATACCCGGTTTAATCATAGTTTACTGATATCTCTCGAAAAAAATTGAACCTCGAAGACTTACTTCGAATATCGGACCATTGGCGCTGCGACCAATATTGGGACTTTATCCATGTCTAGCCTCTTGCAATCTTCATTAATATTTACTAAGCATCTATTAGCTGCTAGAAATTCCTTTGAAGTGATCAACGATCTTTCACCAGCATAAATATCATATTCTTTGACACCAGTCTCCAAATTTAAAAATTGCTGAAAACGCATTTTTGAGCGTTCAATCGAGTTTCCGTTGATCATTTTTAGTTAAGCCTTAAAAATTCCTTGAACTTCGGATATAAGCCAAATTTTTCCCATTAATCTTTTCCTATAAAAAATTATAAAAATTTAAATTTTTTTAATAAAATAATAAAGAGTAACTGCCGATGAATAAAAGAATTTTAGTTTAAATAATATTATATTAAATATGAAAATATATTTAATATTATCGAAAATTATTATAATATAATATAAAACTCCATGAAAAATTTGATTCGACCAAAAAATCATCAAAGACTTATGCCATTTTTTTACAAAAAAACAAAAATATTTTATTTATTAAAACGAATAAGATCAACAGCAATATCAACAAAATTCTTTTTATGATGTTTATAGGTCGCAGGAAGATCCCAACGCAACTCTGCGATACATTTTACGATCACATTCCATTTATCGCCTTGCCTTAAAATATAACTCCTCGTGCTCGTTTTATGCAAAGAATATAAATAACCACCTTCGTCGATCAAAGAAAGACCAGCTTCAACAAATTTTAAATCAATTCCTGTAAAAAAGCTAAACTGAGAAATACAGAAATAACATATGGTAAACCATTAATTTTCTAATTATAAATTGTACATAACAATTCCTTCTTTGCAATCCTCCAGTCAAGAAATCAGGAATATAGAGAGAAAGGTGGAGTAAGAAATTCCACTTTTAATGATAGGTTTACTTACGCCAATGAAAAGCGACTCGGAGTTATGCTACTCATCCTCAAAATTTTCGAAACCAGTGAAAAGATACTGGAAAATCCTAACCACTCATTATTATCAGTTAGTAGAATTATATAATAAAAATTTGTTAATAAATGCAATGCAAATAATAAATATAAATATATGATTTATAAATAAATAAATACACGATAAGGTTCTGATAATCTGACAATATGCTTTTCATAAATTATTATATATTTCAATAAAAGAAAATCAGAAAAAAAAAGCCAATCAACCAAAAAGAAAAAAATGAATTAGCCAATCAACCTTCATTATTTTTTGTACCAAATGGAGGATTCATTAAAACTGTATCAAAAGAAGTTTGAACGGCTGAAATATCCCGAATGACGTCCAATTGTAAGAGATCGATCATTTCATTTTCAAATTCATTTTCCTCAATATTTCTACGACAAATTTCTAAAGCATCAATATCGATATCGATTCCAAGACAGTAACTGAAATTAAAATGAAATAAATAAATAAAAATTAAGCTTTTCTCGAAAAGCTTTTTAGAAAATAATTTTAATATCGATATCGATAAAAAAGATTAGTTATTCAGTGAAAACGAAAGAAAACACTTACGATGCACCAATTCTGCTCGCTCCTAAAAGAAGGAAACCACAACCGCAACCAAGATCAGCAATATATTTACCATTGATTCTTCCATCGTTCTCAACAGCATATAATATATCAACTGAAAATTTTTTATATAAAATATAAAAATATATGAAAAATAAAAAATTTAATAAAATTAAAAATGATAATTTAGCCATTGTAATCAAATTTAAATTAGAATAGAATAATTAGAATAAACGAAAAAATAAACCTGCCAACTGCGGATTTGTCGAGTATTGTTCAAGCTGTAATTTAGGAGAATCGAAATCATTTAATTCGGAAAGGAACCATTCGAATTTTCGCCTTTTCATCATTAAATAAAGCTGTCTTCATTAAACATTCCCACCATCTAAATAAACGATTTCGTCCACTATGAGCAACAAATCTACAAAAAATAGAATTTTTCTGAGACTTTTTCAAGCCTCAAGAGTTAAGCTTAACAATATGACCTGGGATAAGCGCTAATTGAATCATATATGGTTGCTGTCAGTGGCAAACAGTATGCATTTGAGTCATACTTCTCGGCATATTTGGAATATACCTAGAAGTTCACTAAGGATTCGTCTTTAACTTCGTCTTCAATTCGCTGACTATCAAACTATCAATCCCCCTTAATAAGTTGAATAAGCCAAGTTGGAAATGGTGCGCATATGAAGGACGGTACCATCAATGAAAAAAAATACCATTAAAATACCATTTAAAAATTTATAGACAATTTGAAATTGAAAATAAAAGAAATAAAGAAAATTGCGAGAAATTTAGCCAAATTTTTTTTAATAAAATAATTTCAACAAAAAAAAAATTTCACCTTGATTTACGCGAATGAGAAAAAAAAAAACAAAACCACAACCAAATACTGAACATTTAGTAGAAAATATTAATCATTCAATTTTTTTAAGCAAAAAAAAATTTCACAGGAAAATTATTTAAACAAAAGGTGCTTTTATACAAATGGTTATTATCATCTTTTCAATCAAACAAAAAAAAATGGAAAGAAGAAAAATTAATTCGGAAAGGAAACCATTCAAGCTTTTTCTTCAAAAAAATAAACTCAGCCAATCTCCAAAGATTTATTCCAATCATAAATTCAATTATTTTTAGTTCGTTCTTATCCATTAACGAAATTGCACCTTTTTATTAAATGTGAAATTCGTGAGAGGAATTTTTAGGAAAAGTGAATATCGGCACTTTCCAATAGAAAAATCCACTAATACATTTCTATTTCTAATCTGGAATGGAATTCAAAACAGTTTGCAACAGAAAAAAAAATGACCGTAAACATTTCGAAAACCATGAAAGTACTTAATGTACTAATAAAGGAAAGAACTTAATAAATAGCTGAGCATAATGCTATTAAATATCTTCAATTGATCAGAAAAGAAAATAAAATAATCTAAATGAAAGGACGTAAAATAAAAAATAAAACAAATTTCTCAAGTTTATCCTCTATTCTCAAATCATTATTTTTTATGAAATATTTTAAAATATTTTCCGTCCTTTTTAAAATTTCAAAAATAGCAAAAATACTATTTTTTGATATTTTTGATAAATAAAAATTCATGCAATACACATAATAACAATAATATTATTATAAATAATGCCAAAATATATGAAAATATTATCAACAATTAATTTCATTACTAAACAAACTTTAACAAAAAAAAAATAAACGAATTAATATATATGTATATATAAGAAATCGAATAAATATAAAATGAGATACTATAAAAGAACTAATGGATTTCTCAGCTAATCAAGTTCAACCAATTGTCTTTGAACAGATAAATAAAATTTAATTACCTAACTAACTAATCTAAGCATTAATAAGGACTGCTTTAAAGACTTCAAAAAAATAAAGGAAAGAAAAATAAAGAAAGGATAGAACAAGAAGGAATGATCATCGGAAATATTTAAAGCGTCATGGAATAGTTAAATAATTAGCATCTAGACCAGGCCTGTAAAACTCATTGAATATGAAGGGCTTTTTTGAATCAGTCAAAAGGTCAAATTTGATGAATTCTAAAAAGAACTGAAGTGCTGTTACTGCAACAAAATATCGAAAATATTTTCAAAAAATTCATTTAACCATGATTTAAATTTGAAACCATTGGATTATATAAGGACTTGGAATTCTTAAAAACTTAATATACCATCGGTAAAATTAAGCCGAAATTTAACTTCAGCTTTTACTTTTAAATAAATTCTTCACAGGCCAAAAATAAGGCATTATGCAGGCCTAGTCCATACTATATTTATGTCAAAAAAGTAATAGGCAAGTCAGATTTTATTTCAAAATTTAGAACCAGTGAGATCTATAAATTGAAAAAAATTCGATTGTTTAGAAAATAAAAAACAACTTTAAAAAAGATTAAACTACACTAGTAACCGCTGATTCTTGAAATACAGCAAAGCGACGAAATTCTTTGAGCAAATATTCAACAGTTTGGCCTTGCATAATCATGTTGAAAGCAAGGTGCGAATTACTTTGAATTTGTGAAGGTTTATCCTTTAATTTTTTATCAACGCCTTTCTTTTTGTTAGCAGACCTCTTCGGATCGATACCACCTGATTCATTGCCACTACTGAATAATGACGGCCCAAACATGATAGCAAGGTTATGTATTTCCATGCGATTTTTATCTGCATGTGAAGCAACCCTGAAATATTTTGTGGTTGAAATAAATAAAAAGTCTAATTTTTCAGTTAATAAAAAAACTTTCACTCCATCTGAAAACATTTATTGAGCCAAATCAATGCCCATTAAAATTGAAAGAAATTTGAAAATTCTCAAGAGAAACGCAAAATTAGGAGAATAAAAAAAAAAATTGGATAAAAAAAATGGTTGGAAAAAATATAATCATCAAAAATTCTTTAAAATGAAATTCGATTACCGCATTAAATGACCAAACAACACTTTCAATGTTTCACGATTGACAAGTGGTAATTTCTTTAATAATTCATCGAATGCTTTTATCTTATTTTCACCATTCGGTAGTCCTATAATAATTTTACAATCAAGAAATCTTTAAAATAATGAAAAATGACAATCAGATTTCCTATCAAAATTCTCTGTAACTATTGAAAATTTTTTTAATTATATTTAAATTATATTATATTCAATTATATTTAAATTATAAAATTATATTTAATTTCTTTTCTAATTCATATTTTTTTATTTAATGTATAAATAACATTGGATAAAATCAATGAATTAATTAATAATGGGAAAGAGAAAAACTTACTATTTGCATGGATAAAATCTTTCGCTAAAGCAGAAGGAAAAATCGGTTCTGATAATTCTCGAAAAAATAACTTAAGTGAACCCGTAAGCACGTGAACATCATCTTCTGCTAATAAGGTCGAGTATTTTTCTAAAATAATATCCAGCAATTATCATTTTAAATTAATTACCAAAACTGATTCTTAAAATTATTTCACTCAAAAAAAAAATGCAAGATTCCATCAACCTTGATCAACCTGGCAACGAATCCTTTGAATTGCAGATAAATTTCCACTAACACGATAAAGACCATCTGTTTCAATTCCTTTCGATTCAATTACTTCAGTAACCATTTGTATGAAACGAGGAACAGTAGTCTGCTCATGCTGACAAATCGCTGCCAGCGTACTACCAAATACAGGTTCTGCTACAAATATGAGAATATTGAGAAATATGAGAATATAACCTAATTCAAAAGCAGTTTTGATATACAAAATTTTTTCTTAATCAAATAAAGTACAAAAGAAAAAATAAAAAAATATACGTTTATATATTCCTTTTTCTTTTAAACTTTCGATAGTTGGCCGCGAACGAAAAAATCTTTTAAGTTTTTCGATAATTGAATCACGAGTCGGTCTTACTTCTTCCACTCCTACTGATTTTGAAGCTTTTTCCATTACAATGATGTTTGAAACTTGCTCTACAACCAACCGATAAATTTTTCTGCTCAAAATCAGTCAACTTTAAGCCTAATGAAAATTTAGATTTTAAAAATTTAAATTTAATAAAATACCTTTACTTTGACCCTTAGCCATTCTTTTAATGGATCGTCTTGTTTGCATATTTCCAAAGGCGGATGAATGTGATATGCTACTTCCGCTCCGTACAATGCCAGTAGTACTTCTTTCCAGCACTGGTGTTGGATAAGTATCAGGACGAGGCTAAAGAATAGCAATTTTATGTTAAGTTAAAAATATTATTTTTTATTTTTCTGAAATTTCAGCCAATTAATCATCATAAACAAAAGCATAAACAAAAGCAAGCACAAATAAATGATTATCAATAAAATATTATAAATATAAATAATTATAATTATATAAATAATTAATTATAAATTATTATAAATGATAATAAATATTATAAATATTAATAAGCATAAATAAGCTTCGAATAATAATATAAATAATAAGATTTCAAAAGGAAATAATAGACGATTGTTGGACGATCGATTAAAATTTAATTTTTTACGATTTATCGAAAAGCAATTATTATTACCAAGGATGAAATAACTTGTTGTAAAGCACTGAACCACTCATTGATATCCTGACTGCTAAGTGTGCTAAAGAAATAAACCGTTCCATCGATGAGCTCCAGCTAAAAAAACAGATATTTCTAAACATATTTACTTTCTTCCTTTAAAACAGAGATCATTTGGCACAAAGAGAAATGATTAGGATGGATAGATAACAAAAATAAAAAAATGGTTGATAAGACAAACAAAATATAAACCTGAAAAATATGCTTCCGCCTTTTATCCTTCTCATCAACCCACTTAATAGAAGCGCCACGCAAATCACACATACCTAGCGGAGCCTCATAGTGTCGACCAGACTTCTGAAATTTCGGCTAATTAATCATCATAAACCAAAGCAAGCACAAATAAACGATTATCAACAAAAAACAAGCATAAATAAGCATAGATAAGTTTACTACTATAATTCCAAAATTCCAAAAAATAAGAAATCCACACCTCAGCACTTTTTTCATCTTTATAAAAAATAATATGGGCCGATGAAAGGAAAAGATAACATGAAGACCATTCTCTTTTCTTTACTCTCACTCCTGCATCAGCACATTTGCACTGAAACTTGCCGAAATAAAAAAAGTTAAAAAAGGATTAAAGGGATTAAAGGAATGAAAAAAGTATTTAAAAGAACTCAGCAGAATGCTCTCAGTCCATTTATTCCATTTATCATTTCCTCAAGATATGTATAATTGAATTTTTTAAAAAAAATCTAATAAAAAACAATGTAAAAATCAAATTTAAATTTACAATTATCCGTTCAAATAACTAACAAATAGAATAAATAAAACATTCTAATGAATACAAAAATTTTAAAAATGGCCAAATAATAATAATTATGGCCAAATAAATAATAATAATTAAATGGCCACAGGAAATTTAAATCAAAATTAATAGGAGACTTGCTTTTTCAACAGTACCAGATCTGATAGATTTTTGTGAACGTTTCGCTTGTTGACGATTTGATGGAATGGATGAATCGCTGGAACATGGACCACTTTGTTTCGAAACTGAAAAAGAATTTTTTGTTGATAAAACAGTGAAATAAATAATAAAAGATGATGTTTTTCATATAAATTTTCAATGTCATACGTAAATTTGCTGCTTCGTTAATAGCAAGTTCTTCATTCGATTTGAAAGCTTCAACTCGTTGAGCAACTTCGCGAGCTATTGCTTGAACAGACATTCTTTTTTCCATAATTTTATTCTTAATATTAACTGATGCTCGACTTATACCAGAATCCATACTTTCTAACATATCATTTAATGATTTTGCCTAAAAATCCGATTTTGAACTCGCTAAAATTTGAAGATTGATTTGAAAATGAAAGCATATTCAATCAAATCAAAATTACTGTAGTAAGTGGTGATTCTGTAGCAGAGCCAGAAGCCATCGAGTCATCTTCATGAGAATCTGAATCTCGATGAATAGCAGGAATAGTAACTTTTGGCAGATCTTCACCATTTATCAACGATGCAACTTCATTGGGTGGCTTCAAGAATCGCGGAGGTTTCCAGTGACATCTATTCGACTCCGGATTAAAAAAATATGACCTAAAATGTGATATAGTTTTTAAAAAAATATAAAAAGTAGAAAGCAGAAGGAAAAAAGCATTTTTAAGCGAAGAAAAAAAAACCTTCCAGTTTCAGTGAAAAATTCGAGCCAACCATTCCCAAGATCTCGTATTGGAACTTGATTAGCGTCAGGTATGGGCGGTTGCTCAAATCTTCGACTTGCTTCTTCCATTTCACGAACATTAGCGTATACATGTTCTTCGTTGGATAAATCAGTCTGTGCTACAGTTTGTGTATCCATATTATTTTCCATAATGCCAAATTCATTATCAGATAGCTAAAGATTTTTTTTTAAAAACAATTTCATATTTTCATAATTTGAAAATTTTTTTTAACAATTATTAAAATCATTATCAAAAAATTTATTTCAAATTTAATATTTTTTATTTTTAATAATTCAATACATTTTAATTTATCTTTTTATTTTTAATATTTTAATAACTTAATTAGGATTAAATTCTAAATATTAATTATTATTAATGGAATTTAGGCCAGAATCGTCAAAGAAAAAAAAAAAAACGACGAAATGGCGAAATTTCATTTGATTGTCATAATTTAGACCACAAAGAGAACGAACATACATACATACATACATACATATATATATATATATATGATTATTCACTTGCTTGCATCTGCATCTTAAATATTAAAACAAATAAAATAAATTTAATAACAAACAAACGCGATTCGTAGAATCGATACAAAATCGTTGCTTACAAACTGGAATTAAATAATCATCACTTGACGACGTAATTGTTGCCGTATTTGCAATCATAATGCAGTCCGAAAATTACTCAAAAAAACTAAATAATTGGTCAGCTGATAATTCATTCAGCCAAACATAAAAAAAGTATTCATCGTTATCTGTAAAAAAAAAACGTAAAATTGAGAAAAATAATATTTCTATTTTGCCGTCATTTGAAAATAGAACTGTGGCATTATTCATTACACCATCATCCATTGCGATTTCACTTTTAATTATTGGTTTGCTTTTATCCAAAAAATCGAAAAATCGGCGAAATAAACCGAAATTGTCTTCTTAAAGCTTCATTAAAAGTGAACAATAAAAATGTGAAAAAAGAAAAGAAAAAATATCCAAAAACAGGAAAATTTGAAATATATAAACATAATAAATTAATTTCTTTTCAATCTTAATTTCAAAACAACTTTTTTCATTAAATTACTTTTGAATAAATGAAAATACATCAAAGTACACAAAATAATTAAAATTATTAAGAAAATTTAATAAATAAAAAAAATAAAATGATATTTTTAAAAAATAATACGAATAAAAATAAATAAAATTTTCCAATAATTTCATAGATTTCATTAAAATTTTATTTTTATTTATAATAAAATTTTATTTCATATTTTTCTTTAATATTTATTTACGCCTATTGTTATAAATTTTATTATCCATTCTAAATTTTGTTATTCATCGAAAAATCTATAAAATAAAAATTTATTTACGAAATCTTGACTCGTTATGTTAAAAGCCATTGACATACGCCAATACTTGCCATATACTAAATATAAATAAATTCCACATATGCTATTTAATATCCTCTCGATGTATTCTAAGTCCTGCAGTAATCTTTTATTATAATCCACTAGCACTAACATTTTAGATTGTTTTTCAACGCTCCAATCCTTTCAAAACCATTTAAACAACTTATAAAATAATAATAAATAATTAATAAATAATAATTAAAATTAGATAAATGAAAAATTCAATCCTTTCAAAACCATTTAAACAACTTATGAAATAATAAATAATCAACAAATATTAATTAAAATAGTAAAATAGATTAATGAAAATTAATAAAATATCATATCATTCATATATTCACTTGCATTTTATTCCCTTAACTCTTGCAATGTTCTTTTCCCACTAACATTAACAGTTAAAAATTATAAAAGGTATATAACGATGTAAAATTTATATTGAGTATCTTAAGTGAAAACGTATTTGAGATCAAGTGATTCGATGAAATTCGAAACGAAATAAAATATCATCCTTTTTTCTAAAAGCACATAATTTCTAGCTAGGCTCGCTCCGCTAGCCTTATCGAGCAGAACAAAGCCAAATAAGTCACTTGAAGACAGAAATACTTAATGAATCGTAAGGGTCTTCCGGATTTTTAAAGGTTTACTCTAGTCGAAGAGTAGAACTCCAGCACCGGCATTCCGAGATGATTAAAATAAATCCACTGGCTCATTGATGTATTCTACCTTTCTTTCCTTTCGCCAACTGGTGACACAGCCGCTCGATGGAGCATTGCGCCGGTATTTAAGGACACAAATCACTGCCGAAATAATATATTGGCAACTATCTTATCACCGATACACCAAAAATAAAACACTAATTGAAAGCAAATAAGAAAAATTAATGAACGTTTCCTTTCGTCTAAACAAAATATAAAAAAAGTTAAAATTTCATTTCATTAAAAATATTTGTCTGTTAACAAATGCGAAAAAAAAAATAAGATTTCCGATAAAATTTCATTAAAATTTTAATTTTAAATTAAAATTTTAGAAAAAAAAGAAACCGATTCAAAAGGAATTTTAAGAAAGAGAAAATTTTTAGAAACAAATAATTTGCATCGATTTTTTTTCTTTTCTTAATTTTTCTTATAATTTATAATTTAATTTAAAAATAATTTAATTATTTCTTAATTTAAAATAGTTTAAAATAATAAATAATAATTTCTTAATTTAAAATAATTTTTAAAAAAAAATTTCTTTCATCAAAATTTTCATTCTAACTTTACCAAATCAAAAATATTAAAAAAGGAAGCAAACAAATGAAAAAGTGAATCAAATTCACAATAAAATTCACACAGTAATAAAGAAATCCAATGAAGAGTAAAATTTTTAAATTTTTCCTAAGAAAATAACAGCTCAAAATCGATAAAAGATTTGTTATTAGTGATAATAATCCAGATGCTTAAAATGATAATTCAGACGAAAAATAATTCAGTCATATTCATCATCTATCTGGACAAAATAGAAGATATCTTTAAGTGGGAAAGAATTTACGCTTCTATCATCTTTTTTGCTCATTGGCAAAATTAATCCCATCTAATATTAATATTAAAATTAATTAATTAATTAATCCCATCTAATATTAAAAATATTAATCCTTACCAGATGAATAAAGCTAATTAAAAATGATTAGCACTGATAACTTATTTTTATGTGCTAATAGATTATTTTCTATTCATCTTACCTTATAGTCCTTTCTATTTCTTCAAACTGTATTCACCATTTCTGCTCTACTTGCCTGTCTCAGCTGTCTACAGCTGTTATTTACCTGTGGTGTAAGATTGGTTATTGGTTATAACACATCGACTCTAGGATGACCATTTCATTTTTTAATGATGGATTAGCTTAATTTTTAAATTCTGCTAAACTCGAATTGTGCTATCGAGCGCATTCTTTTTTCTAACATTCCATGAAGAAATCCATGATTCGATTCTCCATTATTTTTCCTTGACCACACAAAATTTAATGAAAGCTAATGGACTGCTCTGGTCGGATTCGAATTTTTATCATATAAAGCCTAAGTCTAAATCTAAGCCTAAGCCATTGATGTATGACAGTGCCTTATTATTATTTGATACGCGACAGTTGACATAATGCATTTGACACAATACGATGACACCATTTTCATTCATTTTATGTTCTCTATAAAATATAAAAATAAGAATTTCTATAAATAAAATATATGAGTTCAATAGGAAAATGGATATGATTTTTCGACCCTCTAAAACAAACATGAAGTATTTTTCGAAATTTCACTCGATACAACTGATGTAACTGATATGATATGATATATGTGATTAGGTTCCCATCAGAGGCTGAGCATCTGAGCTTTAATCTGATTTTTTTTTTAAGAGCTCTCACCATTACGAATTACACCCTATACGCTAGCTTATCGCATATAGACAAATAATCCCTTTGCGAAAGAAGTACAGATAAGTCGCCCGCATTACGAGATTCACTCTGATAACGAGTTATCATATCATTTTAATGATAGTCTTCTAGTTACCCGATGGCGGCTCATACTTCTATCATCATGTGCGCTTTCTAGTAAAAAATTTGAATTATACGAATAAATTTTATATATTATGAATTTTTATTTGTTGTCTTAAAACTATTATTTTTCAACGAATTACATTTAGAAATATCATAAAATTCGAAGAAAAGAAAATAATCGCGAAAAAAAAGAAAAGAAAATAAAGAAAAGAAAAAAAAAATGATTTCATGATTTTTTAAATTGATTTTAAATTTTTTTATTGTTTATCAATTTCAATAAAATTATTATTTATTCCATTAATTTTTTATTTTTCTTTTATTTTAATTATTATTTATTATTATTTTGTAAATTATTCTTTAATTTTATTTATTAATTTTATTAATTTAAACTATTTATACTGTTTTTATATTTTTTTAAAAAAATTTATAAAATAATAAATAATTAACAATCTCCGAATAGGAAGTTTTTTTCTAAAATAATTATAGATTCAAAATTTTTTAATGTTAATTATTGCAATTTTTTAAAATAAAATTAAAAATAATAAAAAATATAAATAAAATAATATAATATAAATAATAAATAATAATAAAAATAAAATTTAGTAATTTAGTACTTTTTAACAAAACATTGGGCCAAAAGGGCCCTCAGCTTCGCTTTATTATATTATAATGCTATATTTCCATTATTAATTTTAGAATTAAGTAGAATTTAAAAAAAAAAGAATTAAGTCATATAATAAGACTTTTATTTTGTAAATATTAAAATTATTAAATTATCAAATCCATTTAATTGAATTAAAATTAAAATTGAATTAAAACTAATTAAAATAAAATGTAGATAATTTAAATAAGTCGATCAATTATGATAAATGAATCGACCGACTGATAAAGTTATCAGTAAAATTTTTTTTTCAATTTCCATGATACTCATGTTATTTAAAATGATTCATTTTGAAGTGAATCACGCACGAATAATATTTCTTCGTTAATTTATTGCAAATTATAGAGTTTGTTTTTTTTTTTTATTTTGCACTTTTTTATAGATTTTATTTTTGTGATTTTATTTATTTTTGAGGAAAAAAAAGAAAAAAATTAAGAAAAAAAATTTTTTTAGCAAAAATAATATATTTGCAAAACATTTAACGATAAAAATTTATAAGACGATAAAAATTCTTATAAAACGATAATTTTTCTCACACAAATTAACGTAAACTAAAATTAAAATGATATGATAAAAATTTCTATAAACTCTTATCATTTCTTATCATTCATTATTGAAATTTATTTATATTTTTATTTCGATGATAAAGCCATTAGCTAATGCATAAATATCTCAAAAAAAAAAGTTTGATTGATTTGTTCATCTTTCAAGTTTAAAAGATTGAAATTTTACAATTTTACAATTTATCACTTTATTTTATCATAATTCTTATATGAATTACATGTGATAGAGATATTTATCCGCTGCTTTTCAGTATTTTAATAAATATCGTCTAATACAAAGAGAGGAAAATTGAAGGCTAAAGTGGTACCGTATCGGTGGTACTCGTGGTAATAGGAGCATTAGGAACTCTGATCTCTGAAAAGTGCTCCAAGAACGACATTCAAAAATCTCTACCTAAAAGAGGAGTGCACTACTATTAATAGCTATTATAATGTGCAAAATCTTAAAATTTTCAGACCTCTGGTAGGAATTCGAAGTTGAGAATTATCCGTACAATCTGCAGAGAATAAGAAAAGAATTAATTAAAAATATATTATAAATATATTTTTACAGGTAGAGTTGACACTCGTTTAACAACACAGTGGTTCGAACTCCAACACTAACCTTTTGAGAAGGAATATTCGTGGATGGAGATCGCCTGATGCTAGCCTTCTTATTCTCATTCTCCTAGATCTATAGTAGAAGACTTGAGATTGAAGAAAATTAAAGCCACCCAAGAAGGTGGGAAATGTGATTTTTTAAATCAATCTGAAGGCAGTAATAATCATTTACCATAGAGAATGATTTTTAATTTGTGTAATTTTTAATTTTTAATCATTTTTTACATTTTTTTATATTTATATGTATTTATTTTTTGAGAAATTTTATTTTTTTGATAAGAAATATGCAAATTTCTTTATTTTTATTTTAACAATTTTATTAATCTTATTTAAATTATTTAATTGATAAAATAAATAAAATTTCATATTCATTTATTTTCTTAAATAATAAAAATTATTAAAATTAGTTTCTAATCGATAGCTATGTATAGCAAAATAAAATAGTAAAATATTAAAAATATTCATTTTAATAGTTTTTTAAAGACCGTTGATAATTTGATAAAATTATTTAATCAATTAGTTTACTTAAGGCAATTTAACTCATTTTTAATTATTTAAAATATAATATAAATAAATAAAATAAAAATATTTTAAAATGTTTTTTTCTTTTTTCGAAATTTATGATGAAATATCAAAAAACATTTAAATTGATCAAAATTTATTTATTTATTTCTGTACTGTAATACAATTAACCGGATCACCGGATGATGAGACAACTTTACGGATCTCTTGAATTGGCATAAGCATTCGAATTATCTTATCATCGTCTTGTCGCTGATATAACATTTCGCCTTCGAAATCCACCAATTTATATTTTCGTGCACGTATTAACATTCCCACAAGCTGATAAAAATTTACTAAATTTATTGCAATATTTTCGATTTTCTTCACTAATTTTTTGTTTTTTTTTTTGATTTTTTGCTAATCTATTTGGTCGATTGTGATTTATAATAAATTTAAAATTAATAAATAATAAAAATAAAATTTATATAATTTTTTTATTTTACTTTAATTTAATTACTTTTTTGATTTAATTTTTTAAATTTAATTTATTTAAATTTAAAATATTTTTTTATGAATTAATTATATGCTAAATTTTTTATTTTTAATGAGAGATTTGCAAAATTATCAGAAATTTAAATCGCGCAGCCAAAAAAAATTTCGAGCACATAAATAGTTCAATGAAACATTGCCTTAGGCGAAGAATTGGCCTTTTAAATGCAAATACTTTTAGCTTATCGAATAAATGAATTTAGTATATAAACATACCTTATCTGAATAATGTGAATATATATAAAAAAGTGGGCCAAATTTAATGCAACGATTCGGATGTTCGCCTTCCGCATATTCATTGATTATTTCACATAGAAATAAAACTTCTCGGCTAACGTGAACACCTAAAAAATTTTCTCCTATAAACAGAATTTTTTTTGTTCCTATAAAAAAATTTCTAAATATTTCCTCCTTCTTCATCTAATCATTACTACTGCATCATTACTGCTTAGACTGGTGTTGCAAGAACCAATCTTGGAACACGAAAAGACAAAGAAGCACATGGCGTTGTCGCCCTGCTTGGCTGATTTTCAAAAAATAAACAAGAAGATTATATATAAGCAGAAAGATTGCATAGCTATTCCCCGTACATAAATAGGGATGGAATGGGGGGGGGGGGGGGGGGGGGGGGGGGAAAGGGAGAGGAATCTGCCTTGTACGATAGTATTCAGTAGGTATTTATATAAATTTTGTGCTCAGTGATTATAAAAGATTTGATCTTTTTATATCACTGCATCAACTTTCTTTATATAAAAACTTTTAAGAATCGGTAAGGAATTTTAAGAGAAATGCGAAAAATCTCGATATCTTTAAAATTGAATTTATTTTATTTTTGAATATTTTTATTTTTTTTCTTATAATTTTTTATAATTTATTTTAACATTTTATAATGGTTGAAAAAAATTAGTGCAAAATCAAATATTTTATAGAGTTTTTATTTTAGAGAAATATTTTTTTGTATATTTTTAAATCTTATTTTTAAATTTTTTTTATATATTTATTTATCTAAAAGAATTAAAAAACGTATAAAACCCTATGCATATTTCCATATAAAATGGAAAACATGAGAAAATATGAGCACAAAAGGATAAAACAAATAAATAAAATGTAAAATGATAAATATAAAAAGTAAATTTTCGTACTTATATAAAACAATTCTAATAAACTAATAGTACCATCAATACCAGTAATGAGTTACCAATAGGAGTTCAAGAAATATTATCATAAGTTTCTTTTAAAATCGTTAGGAGGTCCAACAAGAATACTTGTATTTCTGTTGTAACATACTAGAATAATCAGTTAATGGATAACAACAGCAATAGCTCATTTCTAACGAATAACTTTGTAGTTATAAGGCTAAGCCTAGGCCTAAACCTAAGTTATAAAGAAAAATATCATTTGAAAAACAGAAAGCCAATTAATCTATTGTACTTTTTAAAAAAAAAAGTTATTTTACTTACATTGTAAAAAGTTACTTAAGAAAAAAGGTGAAATTTTTAAATATACCTATAATGATTAATGGTTCAAATTTGAGGAAATTTATATTTCTGCAGGGATATTAACTATAAATAACTGGGAGAAGAATGATTAGCAAATTATCAACTATTCTATAAAAATTATTTTATTTATAAAATTATAAAATTATTTATTATTTGTGAAATTTACTTCATCAAGAAGAATATATATTGCTAGTTAAAAGGTAAAAAAAAATTTCTTTTTTTTTTGAGAGCCCTCACCATTAATGGTTAAACTCTGTCCACTGGCTAGTCGCACTAGATAAATATGCCAGGGAATCCCTTGACGATGGAAACACAGGTGAGTCGCCAGCACCACTCGGATTTTTGGACAGATTTACTCCGGCTGGGAGTAGAACCTCAGCATTGGTATTTCGAATTGAACAACAATCCATTGAGTAATTTTACTCTCTTATATTTTAATATAAATGTTATCTAAAAAAATTGCAAGTTTTAAATATTCGAAAGAATTCAAAAAATTAAGGTAGCTTACCAGCTTTGATTCCTCTGGCTTCTGTTTTTGATCCAGCTGTCGGTCGACCGTAATCATTTGCATTCTTATTAAAATGTTGTACAGAATATGTCTCGGAAAAAGGATTTCTAAATATTTTATGGATTTAACTCCAATATTTGTATGATAAGTATCTTATTTTTGATAAGGTTTGATAAAATGATAAGTTGTAAAAACCAACTTATCAAGTTTCTCTTGATTTGCCTTTGCAACTTCATTGAACATATTTATGGTGTCTCTTGTTCCACCACGTCTTCGAACCGATGATAATTCCCAATTCCTCATTATATTATTACTAATAAATAAAATTTTTTTATTTATTTATTAATACAATAAATTATTTTATCTAATTTATCTGAAAAATTGAACAAAAAAAATGAATATTATGAAGATTGATGATAATATTAAAATCTTGTTGATAATGAAAATTGATAAGAGCTTAGTGATAAACTTTTCTAATTATTAGTATAAATATTAGTTAAAATATTAATATTAATAATATTAATGATTTAAAATAGTACTTTTCTCCTTCTTTTAAGCCATTTTTCACGTTTTTATTGTTGAAAGTTTCATTCATATTCGGTTTTGATCTATTTTTCAAAATTTTTTTATTGGCTTCTTCTCTGTAAACAGATTTATGAATTTTTCTAATCGATTGTAAAGTTTAAATTCGTAAAGTCGTTAATCATTTATTATATTAAAAAATCTACAACTGTTTTGTTATTCGTAGTAAAATGGTAATAATAATAGCGTCCGAGATGTGTATATAAAGAACCATTCAGATGTATTCATTTGCTTAGCCCGAGGGCATCTTCTTCTAATAGCTCACATCATCATTGCTTAAGCTGGTTCCACTGGTAAAAACGGTGACGATAAAGCTTTTGCAAGCTATTCGACATTGTCGTTGATAATAATAGAAGCTATTCCTTTTTTCCATCGTCTAAATCCATATATTGCTGATAGAGCTATACGCTCAAAACTCCTTCTAGCTATTTCTAGGTTTTGATCGGCTCTTTTGGTTTTTGACACCATCCATCACTAGTTTTAGTTTAGCATGTAAACGAAATATATTTCAACTGCTATGATGGATAACGAATTTAAGGCTATTAGATTTTTTTTTAATTTAAAATTACTTTATAAAATCATGAAATATGAAAGAAATCATGAAATATGAAAGAAATTGAACGAAAGGACGATTGACATTCGCTTATTTTATTTACAGTCTATCACATTTCTTATATTTACATTTATATTTGATTGTTAAGAATTATTTTGTAAAAATCATAAATCTCTTTTGTTTTTTATTTATATTTTTCTATTGAAAATAATTTTATAATAAAAATAAAAGCAATTAGTCGAAGAGAAAATAGTAAAAATTTCAAATTTTCCTATAGAAATACGTTCAATAAATTCGAGAATAAAATTTTATGTTGCTAGAAAAAAAAAAAAAAATTTAATTTCATTGATATATTCATCAATAATATTTATAATTTAGGCTTAAAGTGAGATAAAAATAATCCGATTAACGATTAAAATTCTAGTTATTTAATTGTAATAATGGCGAATGTAAGGAAAATCTAACTGAGGAAATTTCTTTTCAAGCTAAAATGTATGAATATTTTACCGATAAAATATGATAATATCATTACAATAAAACAGAGTGATGATATCGGTGATAAAAAAGTGATAAAGAATCAATAATAGATAAAGACAAATTTAATGCTAAAGCAATTAACTTTTAAAAATATTTTTAAGCTCCATATAAATAAAATAAAAAAATATTTTTTTTTTTGAAGAACCCTCACCATTATTGCTTAAACTTTGCAATAGATAAAAATATATTAGGTAGCCTTTCTTTGGCGATAGAAGTACAAGTGAATTGTCAGCATCATAACTCGGATTTTTGGACAGGTTTACTGAGCCATTCTATGTTAAGAAATAAAAAATACTGTATAATAATAATAATAAATATATAATATAAGACATACTTGTTTGTATTAATACTATTTCCAATATTGTTACTGCTATTTTTCGCCTCCTCACTGTTATTACTATTATTATTATTAAATTTGGCAATAACTGCTTTAGCTGTACCACGCTGTTGAGCTGTTATCATATCGAAACAACTGACTATTCAAACATATTTTGCACATGATAATATAAAGAGATATGAAGAATAAAACAGTTGTGCAATAAAGAAATCTGAAATTGCTGATGTAATTTGAAAAAATCTTCTTCTTTATCTAACTTTTAATTTTTCTGGAAAGAAAAAAAATAAATAAGAAATAAAAAATTAAGAAATCCACAATTTTGCTTCGAACGATTTTTTTGAGTTATTTTTATTTTTTTATTTAATTATTTCTTTATCATAAAATATTTTAAAAAATTTTTCATTCTCTTTTACGATGTAATTGAGAAGCATTTCACGATTTTGTTTCATTTATTATCATTTACGTTATCACTAACGTCATTATCATTGACATCAAATTTTATCAGAAACGTTGTTCCTTTTTTTTTGTTTTTCAAAATTATTTTTTTTTTAAATATATATTCTTATCGATGATTTATTTATTATTTATTTATATTTATTACATTATATATCATTTGTCATTTTGTTTTTATCATTTTTAAATTTCATTTGAATTTAAAATTTTCATCTTTTAATAGCTCGAATCTATTACTGGTTTCATTGATTTTATGGGCAAAGCATTTCCAAGTTGTTCATATCTCTCATATCATGAAATCACTTCATTTTCCGCCATCTAAACCCGCATTTCGCTGGAGTGCCTATACTTTTAAAGCTTCTGGTATCAATACAGATTGCATCTCTTGATTGCACCTCAATTTTGAATCCCCATCAGCTCAATCATAAACCACAAACATCGAGGAACTTTTCAATATTTTTTTATCGAAAGATTTCATTTATCAATTTAGTTATTTTCATTGAAATGATGATTGCGAATATTTCCGGCAAGCGAATAGTTGTGTAATAAATGAATAAGTATAAATGAATTTCAAATATTTGTAGTCGATTTTTAGTATAAATTAAGATTAATAATTTAATAATCTATTAATAATTTAATAATTTATTATTAATAATTATTAATAATTTTTATTAATAATGATTTTTGATAAATTGAATTTTTGATAAGTTGATAAATGTCCAAAATTTACTTAAATAATCTTTTTCCTTTTCTAACAGTGGGGTTAAGCTGGTTCCACTGATTATAAGGGTAAGGCGTTTCTACGTCATTTCAATCCAATGCCATGCCCTGGGAGAAATTAGTTCCATAGCTAACGACACGCTCACTTCTATGGCCAAGTGACTTCTTAGCAAAATTTGTCTTGTCTGACAAGCCAGCGAAGACGGACCTAATCAAAAATTATGACATGAAATCAGAAAAAAAAAAGTAAATTATAGTAAAATTAAGAAAGGAAGAAAGCTTGTACAACTGTTTCTAAAATATATATATATATATAGAAACTTCTTTGTCACCTCTGTGGATGATATATGTCATCTTCATTCCAGAATCCTCTACCACAGGCCTGTAAGATTGAAGTAAGGCAAATAAGCTTTCAGAGGAGCTTGTCCAAAAATATTCGCCGGCAAGATGGAGAAAATGGGTTGCGATTCGCACCATTCTATACTAATCGCCTATCTTAGCCACTAAGCTACTCTGACACTATATATATGATACGGACCTTGTTAATAACGACGACATCCGAATCGACATGACTCTTGTATGCAACATTCTCATATTTGAGATAGGGCAGATATTTAGATAGTTCTGCCCAAGGATCCTATCGAAAAAGATGGTTTTATTTCTAAAATTATAAAATTATAGGATTTTACACAATAATTTTATAAAATTAACAAATTTATGAATAAGATTCCCCATCAGAATGGGTCATTAAAATTGAACGAGTCCAGCGAAAACTCTAGAGATTCATTTTATCAGCAAATTCACAGTTCTTTGATTAGATTATTTAATAGTGCTTATCAATTCCTCCAAAAATATGAAATACTTCTATTATTTATTTTTTTTCAGATTTCACCCAAAATGCACACATAATAAACAATAACAAAACCGTATATATATATATATATATATATTAATCAATTCGTTATCAAAATTTATCAATAGAACCATAGGTTTTGGTTTATTGCTTTAATGAAATTTTATTAAAATTAATTAATAATTTTATCACTAAATCATTATTTTATCATTGAAATTATAAATTGCTTATAAAAAGAGCAATCGTATTTTTACTCTATTGTATTATATGAATGAACCCCAAGGCAATTGCACATATCACATGAATATGGCTTTACTGGGCCTAAGAATTATAGGATTCAAAGATTTTGGCCAATGTTATATGTTTAATACTCTCAAATCGAAGCAAATCACTAGAGATCCTCTATTATAAAGTTGTTAAATAAATTTATAATCTCAAAACGAAAACTTGATAAACAGTATCGGTGATTTTTTGCAAGCAAAGGCCATCTGATCAACGCATAATAACGCGTGGATATTGTTGGAGAGGGGTTGGTAGGGAGAGGCGAAGGGAGGAGGAGGGAGGTGGAGGAGGAGGGGAGGTGAAGTTTTGGGGTCTTTTGGGATTTTTTGCTCTTAAAATTTTAATATTTACCATTTTTCTCGCCACCTAGTTTTTTTCTTAGAATTTAATTTGTGAAATTTTTTTCATTTATTAGGAAATAATCTCATCGCGTATAAACGACTGGATTATATGGTTTCAATACAATAAAAAAGATTTCTAATTTCTTTCGGGCGATCAATTTTTTTTTCAAAAAAATCAAAAAATAGACGAATTTAAATGTTTAATTTTTTATTATTTTTTATTTCTTTTATTTGTGAATTGAGAAAGTTTCGATAATTTTTCACTTTTTATGAAAACATTAATTTTATTTGCTTTTTTTTTAATTTCAGATATTTATTATTGAAATAATGGCTCTACGCAAAGGAACGAAAAAGGTTTTCTATCGCATTTTCTTTCTATCATATTTTTTAAATTAATTATTTTTTTTTTACTTTGAATTCATAAAAAATAAATTGGCGACAAATCTCTATCAACGTGAACTGAGAGAACAATGCAATTTTTGTCGAAGTTACGAAAAATTTCCGCTGTACAAATGCGAAATATTACGGACCAGTTTTTTTTTTTATTAAATTAAGGTCGAAAAAAGCCACGCGTTTCACCTGAATTAGTGAATTAAGCATAATTATTTCCAACTAACTAAAGTAAGAACGAATTTAAACTTCGACTTTGGCAGGCAATGAAATGTCGAAACTGGCCTATAATTTTGTAAGTCATTAAGTAGGTACAAAAAACTTGCTTAAAAAAAAATAAAGCTAAGATAATTAAGAAATTAGATAGCTAATAATTAAAGGCCATTTAACTATTAGCTATTTAATTAGGCCAAAAAAAATGAGATTTTGAAGTGAATCAGAATGATCAGAATGAATCGGAGATAGGATAGCTTAATGAGTTGTTTCTCACTTTGGAGCGCCGATAGTAGGGTTCTATTTCCAGCAGGAGTAAAACTGTCCAAAAATCCGGGCGATTCACCTGTATTTTTATTTCTATTTCTATCGCTAAGGGATTCTCTGGCATATCTATCCAATGCGACAAGCTAGCGGAGTGAGTTTAACCAGTAATTTTGAAAACCCTTTAAAAAAATTCCTTGAAGAATAAATAACTAATGCTCATGTGACATTATTTTAGTGGAAATTAAAGGAATATTAGTGAGTTTGGTGGAATGAGTTTTATGGTATGGTTGTTTTGATTCTGGTCGAGTCATATCGTATCATATAGGTTGGATTCCCTTATCAGAATGAGACATTGTCGTTTAAAAAACTGAGTGGTGATATTTATATCAAATAACTCTCTAACAAAAATTTCGAAGGCGTGTGATGTAATGTAAAAAAGTTTGAAAAATAGATAATAAAATAGATAATCGATTTTACAGTTCATAGCTAGCTATAGTCGCGTTTATTTTCGGTCATTATGCACTTAAAATGAGGCAAAAAAATCGCTTAGATAATTTTATTTTACATTTTATTTATCGCAAATTTTTAGCAAAACATTTATTTAGGTTAATATCACTGAACTTGCTCGTTCATTCTCCACATTGCCTCGGGCTGAAAAAACTACAATTTTCTACATCATTGGTCAAGGTTTGCTTCCTCTGTTTTGATATTTATGACCTTCCAGTTTAATACTTTTTACGACTCTTTAATGTTATTAATATTGTTATGAGTTAATTCAAGGCAATTTTGCAGAGCTATCATAAATATTTGATAGTAATATATTATACATCGATTGGATCATTCATAGTTTTAGTTTATTAATGGGCTATTGTTTATTTTGAACTGAAACATCGATAAGAAATGGAAATTTTGATAATATTCAGACATTTTATCAAATTGTTACTTTTATATTCGTTTCTGATTTCTTTATTATTCTTATTCTGTTAGATTTCCACTTTACAGATCATCAAAACATACTCGGTCAGAACAAGCAATATCCGTTTCCAGGTCGCGTATCATCGCAAATTGCATATGCAAAAGCAAATGTATCTTTATTTTTTAATATTTGAATAGAAAAATTTAATCCAAGTTTAAGTTTAAATTTAATTTGGCTGTTCGAGAATGTATGGATTTCATTTCTTTTACTTCCGTTTAGAAATTGGAATGGAACGTGTTTTGCCTTGACCTTAGCGGAAGTTGCATACCATTTTCTATCGCCTAATTTATTTGATTAAATTTGACTCTAATTATTCAAGTGGAATTAGATTTATGTCTGATTTTTCTGTTTACCCTTGAAGGTCAATCTTTTTATTTGTAGGTGAACAGTACATTCTCTGGTCAAAAAGATCCATTACTGAAGGGATTTTCTATCAACAAAATTTTACAAATGGCAAAGAATGAAGTTGAACGTCCGCCTGTTGAAGTTGGCAATAAACACGATACCGAAATAAAAGCTATTGATTGCCCACGTTTACTGAGGAGAGGTTGTTTTTAGTAGTTTCAAATTTTTAGTGTTTTGTGAATTTATATAAGTATTTTTTCTGGTTTGATTTTAATTTTTTTATTTTTTAATTCCATTTAAATTTTTTTATTTTAATTTATATTGTTTCAATTTATTTTTGTATTGTATATAATTAAATCAATTAAATTAAATTAAATCAATTTTTTATAAAATTTATGATAAATTTGTGATAAAATTTTTTATCGCACATATGATATGATGAAAAAATTTGAATGAATTCATAAATTTTTTTTAGATTTGAAACAATTATTTCCATCGATGAACTTTGATAATCGTAAGGTGTCAGTAATAAGTTGGTCAAAGAAAACCAGCGCTGATATGGGTGTATGGAGCATGGTCATGGAGGTTGAAAGGATGCAACTTACTGGAGCGGTGCTCTATCTTTCTTTTTTTATTTGTTTGACGTAGCCATCTTTATAAGTGGTAAGCAAGCACTATTACCACCATTAATAGTTGGACTCGCCTCGGTTATAAGTATAAAAATTTATATCAGAAAATCATTTTGTGGTAAATAGGTAGCACCCGAGTTTTCCAGTATTAGATTCTATCGGATACTGATACCCATTTTTAATTTAAATTATTGCCTTTAACACGATAATCTGAATCACTGTTTTCTCAGCTGTTGTTTCTTAGTCGTTTTTGTGGACTTCAAGAAATTATAGATAAGTTCTTATTTAAATTATAACTACGAAATTCTCGTTATTGATTGTTTTCCATCTGATGGATTCTTATTTTCTCGAAAACACTGCGTGGTGCAATATAAAAAGTCGATTTTGTTGTGAAATTTTATTGACAAGAATTTCAGTTCATTGAAAAAGCAAAAAAGATCTGTAAATCTCTGCAAGCAGCTGGATTTTGGGCTGATTTCATTGATCCATCGTCTGGAAGACCTGTAAGATTATTTATATGCTTTCATTTCTGTTCTAAATTTGTGGCATAAAATGAAATTTTGAAAAGTCTATTTTTGATTTTGATCATTAAACTTGCACATCATCTTTGTGCATTCAGTTAAATTTTAATCTTTTAATTTAATTGTATTATATCCCTTATATTTTAATATTTTTGAGTTCAAAAGTTTTTTAGTATTTGGGACAATATACGAACGCAACATTAATGGAAACAGATGAACGATATAACGATCTTGGGTTCATAGTCAAGGATTTGGGATGTTGCAAGGTTTTTTTTGTTCCAAAGTAAATAAAAATTTGGAGCAGAGATAGGCTGATATTTTGCATTTCGCTATTTTTTGTTTTTTAAATTTTTAAAATTTTAAATTTTGGTAAATATATTTTGGTAAATATATTTTATTAAGTAAAAAAATTTTTATGCTTGTTCTAGGCATGCTTATTTCATTTAAATTCGATATAAATAATTGAATTATTCTAAAAAACAGAAGATAGAAGTTCGAGGAGACTTGACAAAGAAAATTTTTCTAATTTATGGAATTTTCAGGTTTTGGAACATATTTCATGGGGTTCTAAGGTATTTGTCGGGACGATTTTCACTGATGCTGCTATGCATACTCAAATTGTGAAAAATATTGTTTCTGAATTTGACGCCAACTGATATTCTTATTATTGTAAACTGAGTTAAAAAATAAAAAATTAAGTTAAAAATTTTAATTATCAGTAAAACCGAAGACTTTCATCATCAGCATTATTTTATAGTCTTTTGCTGATAATGTCGATGTGAAAAACTCTAAATCGTCATAAACGTTGCAGTGTAAAAATATAGAGAATATATATATATATATATATATAGAAATCTTTCATTTTTCTATGAGTAATATAATCATTAAAATTTATACAAAATATTGACGAACGGTGTAAGGTTATTTTTTATTTTTATGTGTATTCTAGTTAAAAATTCGATCGCTATTTGTATTCATTTTTTGTAATCTTATTTAAATGTTTTTCTAATGTTTGATGAAAAAATATTTGTCTAATAAAACGTTGCAGTAAAAATATTTTCATCATTTTCCATTGGTAGTATCCAGCGAATGCATCGATTAACCACCAATTTTACTACTAAGCGCGTATTCTTAGTCGCTTAATCTTTAGCGGTCGGTTAAGTAGTATCATTCATTATAAGACGTTTTTTTTTTTCAGAGAACATGGTGAACGAGCGAAAGAAGGAGTTCGATTCTCGTTGTATGGTTATTGCTGGTTTGGTAATTGCGTTTAATGCAATTCCACTGTTACTTTTTATCGTATTTGCCGCGTTTTCATTCGTGGTTATAAGTATTATTGCAATCTTCATCTTTTGTACGTTTTATTATAGAAAAAATTTTAGGATGAAAGTATTTTTAGAATAATAGAATGGAATTATTGAAGATGGTACCTACCTACCTACTTAGGTACTGAAAAAAAATTAATTTAAAAATAATGGGAATTTTATCGGAAACCTAACTTGGTTTCTTGGTTTGGCCTTCCTTTTTGTTTCAGTTATCAAGTGGTTTTAGAATTTCAATATATGTCTGACATTCGGGATTCAATGAAATAGAAAATAGAAATATAATAAAAATTTATTTTTTAATAAATTTAATATTCCATTAAATTTGAAAGGTTTAATTTATTTTAATATTCGAAATTTTCAGTGATAATCCTTCTAATCGCCTTGTCAATCTTCCTTCCTATTGCTTTTCTATGCACAATTATTGCAATTTTACTTGGTTTGCCTCTATTAATCTTCATTTCAATATCTGGAGTGGATTCTACTCGAAATAAACGCAGTCTTTATAGCTTATTGAAGGTCGATTGAACCATTTTATTCAGTAATTGCAATTATAATCTTAGAGCTGAATTGAAGCGAGTTAAATTTGTTAAGTTCTCAGTTTTACTAATGATTTTTAGGTTTTTATTTTATTAGGTTTTTTTATTTTTATTTGATTTTTTAAAACGTTTTAATTCGATATAAATGATTAGTATTTAAATGCTGTGCTTATATTTCTCCTTATGAATAATTATGAAATTTTTACCGAAAAATTTTATAATAAATTTATTAATGAAATGAATAAAATTCATAAGAGAGGTTGTGAAAAATTCACTTTTTTTAACAAATTCTTTAAAAATTTTCCAATGTTTCTGGTTTTTTTTATTAACATTCATTTTTTATATTTCTTTTAATATTAATTTTATATATTACAAATGTGTATTGCTAATTTTCCGATTTTCTGTTGATTTTATGTTGATTTTATATATTTTTAATAATTATTTTTTGTATTGTTTGTTTTTCATTTTCTTTATTTAATCACTTTTATTATTCAAACATTCATAATGAAAACTATGGTTTTAAAATTTTGCATTTAATATGGTATTCATAGAATCTCGTATCCGCTTTGTTCCACTCCAGGTTCATGAAACGTGAGCCACGGGTTATCTTTTAAATATGGTTCTTAAAGTATAATTCTGCCTATCACCTAAAATTCTGTGGGACTTCTATTAATTTTCACCTATATTATTATTTTTTTTCCTAACGGTTGTAATGGTCTATTAGATAATTAATAGAATTATAGTAGATGAGTAACAGTATTCGTTGATTAGGAGCGATTAGTTCAAACGGTTTTCTTTAATTTTTCATTATAATCTTCATAGAAATGATAATGTCGCGAAATGCGAATCTTTCTATCATTTTAAATTTATTATTTCAAGATAGTAACCCTGACCAGCCAAATGAAGCCTTTCACTTATTCATTAATTCCTTGTCTTCACATATGTCAATAAAAAATAGAGGTCAATTCATAAGTATATAATGGATATCCTTTTCAAGTAAACTCTTCTTTTAGTGCCACCAAGGGACCCGAGCGATTGGCTCCCAATATTTTAATTATTCTACATTTTCTTATTTTCCCCTTATATTGTTAATCATTCTGGAATAATCATATGTTTTGGAATCATATGTTTATTTGGATTTAATTTGTGTGAATATTTTTCGTACCGCTGTATATTGATCGGTTTAATTACCCAAGTTTGAGATAATGGAATAAAGACTTTTATCAATACGTGCGGTGATCAGTGTTTAGTCTACTGTCCTGAGAAAGCAGCTGGATTAAGATGTTCTAATTAACGCATGCCAGGGAGCATTCCACTGATAATATCTACGGATCCATAGAAAAACATAGGAGGAAAGGTAATAAGGGAATGTAGAGAATGACCAGAACTAAGGGAATATTTATGGGGACTGGAGATGGAATTAGAAAGAAATTCGAACCAGACAAATCTTGCTAGGTAGGTAGTAATAATAAGCGATCTTTTGATGGTATGGTCCATTTCGGGAGTAGGGTTTCATTCTTTTCCTTTTAAGAGTACATCATTATTGGTTAGACTCGCTCGGCTAGCTTAGCGTCTTTGATAGATATGTAAGAGGGTTCTTTGGTAACAGAAATATAGGTGGGTCACCAGCATTTCCTTTTCATTATATTTTTGCTATTTATTCTTTATTGAATTAAATCTATTTATTCATTCTTTCTAGTCTTTCTATAAAGTCGCATTGACGTATTATAAAGTATAGGAAATATTTTCTAAAATAGAATGTGAAATAAGTAAAGTTTCATGAATAAAATTTTATTTATTTTTTGTTGAACAAATAAAAATATTAGTGGAGAAACGGAATTTTCCCCTCAATAACAAAATAAACGAGCGATGAAATTAGCCGAGTTTCAATTTCAAGGCTTTCCAAAATCTATGCAAATATCCTCGTCGGAAACTTTCAGGAAATAGGTTCGCATATCTCCTTTACCCTTTATTTTAATAACTCCTCGACATTCACATTCCATACCTTCTTGTTCCAATATCTTTTTAGTTTCTTCAGTTACCTATAAATATTCACATATAATATATTTTATATATTTCCATTTAATTGAAAAGAAAAAAAAAATTGAAAAAAAACTATTTTTGAAATTCGAGAAAATCATTTGTTTTAAATAGTCAAAATATTCTAAATTATAAACATATTTATAAATATTTATAAATATATTTAAATAATTAATTGCCATTCTCACTCAACGGGTGCCAAATGTTTTTAAGGAAAATTATTTCCAAAAATAGTTTATATCCATTTACATCATAAACAACTATTAAATTTAATATGAAGCAAAAAAAATATCTGAATGTTGCGTTAAGTTTTCCTAAATCGTATTTGTTAATGTTGATTAGAATTTGATTGTTAATGTTGATGTTGATTTTTAAGGGCATTATTACTGGTGTCGCACTCGACAAATATGCCAAAAAGTCTCTTGGCAACAGAAAAGTCGCAAGGATTTTTAGACAGGCATGCTGCTACTGAGAGTAGAACCTCAGCATCGGTGCTTCGAAGTGAACAACTACAAATTGCTCTATTCTATTCTCATTTGCTTTTGCGATACTCGATGAAGTTAATGATTCGAACTTCGATTCTTGGCAGTTATCTTGCCACTCGTTGATGCGATATAAATTAAAAATTTGCATATTATTTTTTGTAGATAACCTGAATTTTTCCTGGAACACCAGAACTATCCATTCGACTAGCGACGTTTACTGAATTACCCCAAATATCGTAATGTGGCTTTTTCACTCCAATAACTCCAGCAACAACCGGTCCAACATTAATACCTGAATACCACTGATGAAAAGATGAAAGTCAAATATCGTTGTCCAGTTAAGATTTGAACTTTTAAAAATTTATATTTTGGGTAAATATAAATTTATGAATTTCGTTAGCAAATAATAAATAACAATAATAATAATAATAACAATAATAATAATAATAATAATAATAATAATAATAGTTCATGCCTAGTTTAAAATTGTCTAAAGTTTAACCTATTCTGAGATTAAAATTGTTAAATGAATGTTCATTAATATATTTTATAAGTGCCATAAGCCTTATCGCAAACTTGGCAATAGCTACAACATGAGCATTGCCGATTACTTGGCCAGTTAAGCCTGAGGCAGCCATGTACGTTGTTGATATTGTCTTGATTTTCTCAATGCATTTGAATTCATCGCGACTCAATTGCTAAAAATTCGAAACTGATAGAAATTGATAAAATATTAAAACATTTGATAAATTCTCAAAAATTATAATTTTCTTAAACGAATACCGTGTCAAAATCGACGATAATTTCGTTGAGTAGCCTGAGGCATTCAACTCCTTCATTATTAGCATCCAATTCCATATAAAATTTATCAAAATCCGTTATGGTTATAAAAACAATTGCAACATTATCACGTCCTTCATGATATAATTCATTCCTGTAAATTTTTTGATTTTATTATTTCGCAAAAAAAAGCTAGTATTATTATCAAGCGAAATTTGTATAGAATTTTGAAAAATTCACCTTTGCGTCAAATTTTCACGAAGAAAATATTCCGCAACATGGGCAGGTAGAATATTTTCGAGGACAGCACGATTCTGTGAGTGCTTTTTCTCCATTTCCTTTCCCTCATCAATTGCCTTTAATATTCTATTTTTACATGAAGAATTCGAATTTCGGTAAATTAATTAGGTTTGATTTATTGAAACTAACTAATCTCAGAACCTAAGTTTTCGAAAAATTCAGAAAATAATGAAGTGATGCAGTGTGTTGTTGCTCTCATTTCAAAGCAGCACGGGCACCGGAGTTCTATTCTCATAAACTTTCCTCTCAAAAATCCAAATACTGCAAGCAACTATCCTTTAGCTTTCAGAATAGTAATTCCTTGGCGAAATTTGTCTAGTCTGATAAGCCAGTGAAGCCCAATCAAAAATGGCGGGGCTTTTAGAGAAAAAATATATATATTATATATATATTATTATATATATATATTATTAATATAAATATATTAATATGATTATAATTTTATGAAAAGATGCATGAAAAGATAGATGATAACAAGATTTTTGCCATTTATCAGTAATCATTATATATAACGTAAATTCAAACATATTTGAAAAGTAATTTATCATTATTTATCATAATTTATCAAAAGATACTATAAAATAATATTTTTTGAACTGATAAACTACACTACTGCATTGCATTATACTTAATTTAAACGATATGGAAGATTAAATTTCATTCGTTTCGTTCAAAATTAGTTCATTTAAGAATGAAGAATGCAAGCTTGTGGAAATGCATTGAAGTTGTGAACCAGGTTGGTAAATATGGAACTAAGCAAATTCAATCTTTAAGTTAGATAATTAGATAATTCATCTTTATGAACTGTTAAATTTCTTAATTTCTTTAATATTTATATTTTTAATATTTAATATTTTAATATTTAATATTTTACTGAAATAAAATAAATAAAAAACAAAAAAATATTTTCAGTTTAAGGTGACCATGAAAACTGCATTTTATATGTCGGAAACTGGATTACCTGTAATTTCCAAATGAAATCGAATCGAGTGATTAGTTCAGATCGACGACTATGTATTACAGTGAGAATAAATGCAAATATCGCCATAAATGTCGAGAATAAGCGTAAATCATCCAAAGCACCAAAATCGCTAAAAAAAAATAGAAGGTTAGAAACCTTAGGACAACCAGGACAATTGATGTTTCATCATTCTAAAAAAAAAAAGATGAGGAATGGACCATGACAATTATCTCAGATATGTCATTTTTTGACCATTTATATTACATATAAAAAAAAGAAATTTCCTTATGTAAAACCTGCAGAAAGCGTCGAGTTTTTCATAAAAAGTTAAATTTGCAAACGAAGGCTCTTTTTCAGACCATATAGCAAAATGTCGATTATTGAGATCGGGAAGTTTTAGTGACCAGAATAAAATGAGTCCTGAGGAACAAAGCAAGAATGACATGAAAATTTTCTCCAATGCAAGAAGCGAATGAAAAACGCAAACAATCAGCAGCATAAGAAGAAAACATTCAAAAACACTCTGAAATTTTTCAAGAATGCATTTATAATTTTATATAAATATATATATATATATGCAAAGATAAAAATTTACGTGATAAGGTAAACCAGTGAAGCGAGTATAACCAATAACGGTAAATATTTTTTTATAAATATTTTTTAATAATAATATTTCAATAATAATAATATAAATATTTAATATTTTACAAATATAATAAATATATTTTTTAGATGAAAAATAAAAATTGACGATTTATTAAGTACCATGAAAATAATCTAGTTAGAAGGGAATTTTGTTAGAAATTTGAAATTTTTCGTCGAAGTTTTTCTTCATTAAAATTTTGAAAAAAAAAACCAAAATAAATAGATTTCAAGTAAAAGAAAATTCAGTATTAGAAATTCGAAATTTTTTTCCAAAATTTAAAAAGAATTGATTGACAAGAATAAGAAATAAGAAAAAATGAAAATATGGGGAAATTTTTATATATTTGTATTTATGTTTTTTTTTAGGAATTTTATAATCTTTTACTTAAATTTTTTAAAATTTAAATTTTTAGACTTTTTAAATTTCTAAATTTTTAAACTTAAAATTTTTTTAGACTTTTTTGTATAAATCCTTTTTTTAGGAAGAAAGAAAAAAAAAACTTTTCAGATATTTCAATTATTATTTTTCAGATATTTCAAGTATTGAATATTGGTACAGATATTGTTAAGTATTTCGTTAACAACGCATTCTACTTACCCTGTTTACTTGCCCTACTTGATTTTATTTTATTTTAAATAAATAAATAATTCTAATATTTTTTTACTTTTTGCCATAGGATGGTATTAATAGTTAATCAATCGCCCGCTTGCCTAATATTATTCAAATTACTATATGAATTCTATTAAAATTGAGTTTTATAGTTTTACTTTTAAAGTATAAGAAAATCACCTCAAATTGCACTGATTTTGGTGGTGTATTTGTACAAAACCCGTAAATAATTTTTGTTCCGTTTTTACATTGAAAAAAACAATCAGAAGATGACCACTGAAAAAAATTAGAATAGAATTTCAAGTAAAAAGAAAACTTGAACTTCAGAATTCGATGCAGTTCTTCTTCCTCTCCTTTGAATCTTTTCTCTCGTTCCACGTTTTCCCCCTCCAATCATTAAATTCTTTTAAGTATAAATCTAAGTATAAACCTCTGTATAGATCGTTCTCGTCCAATTTACTCTACTCACTACTTTCGCTTGAAAATCATTTAAAAATAGATTTGCATATCGATTCTGAGGTGATAAGGTGATTAAGGTGATAAGGTGATTCTTAGGATTTTTTCTACTAACGGATTGATATCAAATAAATGAAAATTGCGTTTAGTCGATGTATGGTTTAATCTTTTTTTTCTTTATTTATTTGTCATAAATATTCTTCATTTCAATTTTAATTGAATGAAATGAAATTTTTTATTAGTTTTTTTATTTATTTATCATAAATATTCTTCTTTTCAATTTTAATTTACTTTTATCATAAAAAAAAAGAACAAACCATAAATTTGTGTAAAAAAATATAAAACGCTAAAGCGATCATTAAAAAAATAAAAATAAATCTGAAAAATCGATTCAACGATGGTCCTTGAAAGTGATTACGCTGAAAGTGATTTTTTATAATATTTATTAAATTATAAAAATTAATAATTATGAAAATTAGAGAATATTTCTTTGTTTGAAAGTGATTACGCTGAAAGTGATTTTTTATAATATTTATTAAATTATAAAAATTAATAATTATGAAAATTAGAGAATATTTCTTTGTTTTTTTTCGAATTTTAATAATGAATAGATTTGTTGGAATTTTTTTCAAATCCATATTTTCAAGTTTTAAATTTTTTTTACAGACAACAATCGGAAAATCGAAATTTTTCTATAAAAGAAACTTACAAGAATTATATTCGAAATAAATATACTTAATATAATGAATAAAATCATAGTTGCTAGTCCAGCAGCAATAATTAATAAATTAGACCTGAAATTAAACAAATTCATAAGAGAGAATTTTTAAAAGTTTCATCATCACTGACTAGGCTCGCTCCTCTGGCTTATCGCACTGGACAAATATGCTAGGCAATCCCTTGGCGATAGACAATCGCCCCGGATTCTTAGGTAGATTTATTCCTCTTAACAAAATGATAATTACGATTTAAATGCGAATTAAAATTATAATATATAATTATATAATTATAATATATATTAATATATAATCCATAAAGAATCCATACTTTATTAATGCTGAGAATAGAGTCTTGGCGCTTGGAAACAAGGACCCACTGAGCCATTTCATATTCCCTAATCTTCCCTAATGCTTATCAATAATATTTATTATCAATGCAAGTTTTTAGATATAATTTTAATTAATTTTATAATTAATAATTAATTAATAATATAATTAATTTTAATATTAATCTCAATTTTAGTTAAATGATGATTTTTTATAAATTCATTGGCATTTATTGCACATGTCTTTATAAAAAAGAAAATATTTATATACTAAAATAAGTAAATGAAATGCCTTAAGGCCATAGAATTTCTTACTACCAAGCAAGCCAAAAAGTATTATTGTCATATTAGTGTAGATCAAATTTTTGAATAGGATTAATATTGAGCCGCCTATGACAATATCACTTATCAATATGATTTGTCATATCATTAGAAAGAAATCAGATTAAATGTACAAAAAAAAATTCACCCGAGATCATTAATAAATAACACTATCGAACAAATAACAAATACACTAAGAGCACATGAAATTTGTATAACCATTGCGTCATCTTTGAGTTCTAAGAACTGAAAATTTTTATATTTTAAATTTTTAAATTAAATATATTAATTTAATTAAAATATATTAAATTTTTATGAAATTTAAAATTTTTTCATACATTTTTCTTGAAAAAAAATATATTTTTTATTCAAATTATTATTTTCATAAAAGATTTATTTTTATCTTTTTTGTATAAAAGTTTATAAAAGTGAAACAAAATATCATTCACTTAGATTAGATTTTCGAAATTATTGCTTGGCAAATTTTCATAAGATTTATAATTTATTATGACAAATCTTCACGATTTGCTACACTTGAAGTATTGCATTCGACATAAACTTATTGCTATTCACTAATTTTCATATGGTATTTCTGGATTCTTAGTGATTTTCAATGATGTCAACCAACAGTATTAATGCTTGGAAGACAGGATTATAGATTTCGTTCCCCTATAAGAATATCTACCTTTTCTATGGTCTAAGGTCATATATCGCTGGGCCATGCCTTCAAAACCTCTCTACATCAATTGCCATTCATCACAGGGACATGCAAGTTGAAATGCATATATCAATCCATGAAATTCAAAAGGGAGCATCATAGGCCATTCTTATAAAATATGAACTATTAAATATCGCATTGCTGAATAAGCGAACAGTAAAGAAACAGCGTTCACCATTTCTGGTTGGATTAAGTCCTCTGGCTCTTAATGCGGTTCGAAATTTTCTTGTCTACGAGTACAAGTAGATACTCCAATTCTTTTAATGGCAAGCTTATACCACTTATGCCTGTTGAGTTGAAGAGCTGAACCTCTTCTCTCTCTTCTCAATAAAATTCTCAATTTGAACTGTTTTCCACTCGAAAACTGTTTTGTTTAACACAATCATAACTATTTATAAAAATACGCACACCTTACATTCCATTTTCTTCTTTCGAAATATCAATGTAAATGGCTTGCAATACATTGATTTCCAGGTTTCCTTACTAATAGCTCTAATGCCTTGCATTAAATAATTTTCCACTTCAACATCAAGAGGCTTTGGTTGTTCGATTACTCTCCTATAAAAAGGATAGCTGTTGAATTTATGTGCAATACAATTTAATGCAAAACAAGATTCACGTTGATCCCCTAAAGGTGGATGATTTTCAAGAATTCAGTTGAGAGTTAATAGAGGATTCATCTTTTTATTTTCCTTATTCACATAATGTGTAAAATCTTTGGAATAACATAATAATTCATTAAAAGGATTCGATGAGGAAACAATCTCTTTTATAGGAAATCCAAAGAAAAGGTTTGAAATGCTTAATGCTTAATGCTTTAAACGAGTATTTCAAAGAAAACCTAGTCAGTTCGAGAATCTAGGAGAAGCTGAAGAAATTTTATGAATATAATATTTTTTTAAATGGAAAAAAATTTAAGAAATTGACCTGATACTGTTCCCCCTTTTATACATACGTTCACCAACATAACCTGTAATTCTAAGTCCTTTTTCTCCGAAGGGCACATTGTTTGATTGTTGAATGAATTCCTGTAAAAATTCTTTTGAAACTAAATCTTTTATAACGCTATTCTTATGTAAATAATATTATTCGAATTCAGCAAAAAATGCAAATTAGGAGGAATAAGATTAAAAATTTTAATTTAACAATGGTCTAAATCCCGCAGACTTTTTCCATAAATCAATTAATATTCTTAGTAAAATTATTAAAATTTTAAGAAAAAGAATATGTAAAAATTTTAAAAAACATACAAAAAATATAATTATATAAAAATATTTATATATAAATATGAATAAAAAGAAAAAAGAATAAAATATTAAAATAAAAAATAAATACGTAAATAAAAAATTATAAATTATATATAAAATTTATAAATATAAAAACTATGAATTCTTCAAGCAAAAGAAAAATTTAATTTAATAAAAATAATTTAATAAAAAATTTTGAAAAAATTTAAAATTTAATAAATTTCAAAAGATATAAAAATTTGGACAATTAAATTTATTATTTAACCTAAATAACTAAAAACTTAAAAATTAACATATTTCAAAAATACAATACCGCTCGTTGATCGTCATTAACGATCAAATAAGTCTTGACGTTATGTTCAGCGAGATACCTCGACCTTTCATGACCATTGCCAGGCTCTACTTTATAAAGATCCCCGAGGCATTTCAATGTTGCTTCTGTGATATGAATTCGTCTGAAAAAAAAGCAAAAAAATAACAGTTGAAAATATGTGGCCTTTTATTTTATTTTATTCATATTAAATAGTTATTTTTTATTTAAAAAAGTATTTTCCATTTTATATATATATATTTATTTCCTGCTTTACAGTCGCATTTATTTTAGGCTTGCAATTTTTAAAATTTGGTTCTATGTGACTGTTATTTTTGTGACAGCTTGGATAAGCCAAAGGAGTAAGTCTAATTAGTAATGATGAATGTTATATAATAGTTTGAAAAAAAAAAAAAAGTTCACCCAGGAATTCCACCACTTTCCATATGATTAGCCAAGGTAACATCATCGCTCCAAACATCAAATTGCCACTTCTTTAAGCCTAATACACCACAATGTGCCCTTCCAGTGTGTATACCCACTCTCATATTAACATTGACACCTGTCACTTCTCTCACCAATCTAAAATGAATTATTTGATAAGATTTTTCGTCATTTTTTATTTATATATTTATATAAGTCGAATTTTCATATAGAATTTTAATTTCATAGCTAATAAATTTTTCAACATTAAATGAACATTAAATGAATTAAAAAATAAAAAAATTCTGGAAAAAATTTAAAATTCAAAAAATAAAAGAATAATTAAAAATAAATTCATTATAATTCGTTTAATTCAAATTCTTTTCAATTAATATTTATTTTTAAGAATTTTTTTTTAAAAAAATAAAAAAAAAGATAAAATTATTTTCGTACTTTATGGCTTCAATCATTTCGAGGCCCATTTCAACTGCACATTGTGCATGATTTGAGCGATATTCTGGTAAACCTGATACGCAATAGTAACAATCACCGAGAATTTTAATACGCATACAATGATTACGATATGCGAGATGATCAAAACGTGCAAATAATTTATTCAATAAATGTACCAATTCTTCGGGATTACATTCCGAAGCCAAATTTGTAAAACCACAAATATCGGCGAATAAAATACTGAAAAAAAAATTTTTTTTAAAATAAATTAAAATAAATTTTTAAATTTATTAATATACAATATAATATGTAAATCGCTGAATTATTGCTTAATTCTCCAAAAAAAGAATTATTAATAAAATTTTCCTATTGTCACCTCTAGCGAGAATTTTATTCGTCACCACTATGTTCATGATTTTCTATTTGGCCATTTAAGCGGAGTTTTTCCAGTTTTTCACTTTCTGATTCACATTTTCACATTTCAATTAACTAATTATTAATAATATTTATAATATTTATTACTAATTATTAATATTATTAATTATTGATCGATTTCGAGAAATTTTTCAAAAAAATTGAGTTTGGGTTTTTTTTTGACATTTTTTGCTCATTAATTTCATATTTGCCTAAGATAACAAATCAAGTATAGGCAAAACGAAAGCAATTAACATTAATAGCAATAAACTCCTTTTAAGAGTTTTTTTAAAATAAAGTTCAGCATTGCTTTAAAATTGTAGAAAACGATGTTAATTAAAGACTAATTTTGACTAAATTGCGAGAGAATTTTATGGATAATTATTCCACAATGCTAAAGCAGTAATTGTAGTGATCGCTATTAAAAAGTAGAAAGCATGAAATAAGCCTTCTAATTGTCTCCTTAGGAGATATCTTTGTGCAAACCTGATAATATCGTGTTTTCTAATGTAAATTTTATGGAACATAGTCGATGCTTGTCCCTCCACAGCGATATCCTTTCGAACGTCGTTCGCAATATGTCGCGGAAGAACCGATAGCAATATATCTTCTTGCTTAATATTTTCTCGTAGTAGTAAAATTCGTCGCTCGATACATTTCCTAGATTACAAAAAAATGTCGAAAATGGCTTGAAAATGCCTTTAAGTAGAGTCTTTAATATTTAAATATATTTTTTATTTTTATATAAATTTTTCAATATTTTTATTTTTTAAATAAAAATAATAACCTTTAAAATAATATTTATATTTTTTTTGTGAATTATAAATTTCTTCATTGATCCTTCTTTATTTAATTGCAAATTTGAAGAGTTATTATCGAATGATAAAAAGTAAAAGGTACTTTTTTCAGGTCGACTCGCTTTTTTTTCTTTAGTTGACATCTGTTATGTCATTTTATTTTTATTTTCAATCATTGATTTAAATTGTTAATGATTTTGATCTGAATTGCTAATTGAGATTTTTTTTTTCTGGATTTGCTACTTCATAGTTCTCGTTTCGTATAGTTTTTGCTTTTAGCTTTTTGTTAGTGATAACAATTTTCATCATTAAATGTGATATTTTATTGCTAATTTTTTCGATTTTTTTAAATTCTTAAGTATTATAATTAAAATTTGTTTGTGCCTTAATAATAGAGAAATATCTTCAAAATACTTATGGCTTCTCATATATATGAAAATATTCAAAATCAACATTTGATAATGAAATTTTAAAAAATTACCGTAGATTTGACGTTTAATTATCATAATTACATTTACTATGAATGAAATAAATATTTTGCATGAAGTTTTAAAATTTTTGATAATTGATAATGAGAAATATTTCATCAGTTCATTAAGTTGCACTAATAAATTTTAAAAATTCTAAGCTCTAGGCCATTTGCCTAGATGCTGAAAATTAAAAAATTCTCCTGACTCCTTGCTATTGATGTGATGAATCGATTTTCATAAATTTTATACAAGTTTTTGCAAATTTTAGCTCAAGAATTTAATAAAATAAAACTGAAAAAAAAATTTATTTTAACTTTTATAATTTTCATTGGCTTCTTCGCTACTCAATCGAATCAAAAAAAGTCGAAAATTAAACTATCACAAAATCTTATAAGATTCTTTTGGCTTGAAAATGCTTTATCATTGTAGCCAATGGAGCCAATTTAATTAAAAATGGTACAAAATGTTGGTATAAGAAGAATATAAAAATTATCGAAAATTTTAATGCTTAAATTTGTAAATTTGTAAATTTTCATAATGAATTTAATTTTTAATTTTTGAATTTTTGCAGAATTATTTCGAATTATTTATTTATTAATTATTTTAAAGAATTATTTCGAATTTTTTTCCTTATTTTTCTATTTTCTATTTAACTTCTATTTCTATTTAACTTCTATTTAACGAATTTAATTGCTTTATTGATAGTTTTTTATGATCACTATAAGAGTTATTATTAAATGCTTATTCATTCAACAATAAGATAACTGCTAGAGATTAATTTAAGAATATTTTTCTAAGGTTTTTTTCATGTGCTCTTCCATGTGATCCTCTTTTTAATATAAATAAATATTAACGAATTCATAAATTTATATATTTTGTGTGCCTTTTATAAAATAAATAGAAAATACTTTTTCTTTTTTTGCATCATATAGCGATTAGAAAAAATTTTTAGCAATGCAGTAGTCCAATAGGTGAATTAAGAGAAATAAATTCTGATTTAATACGAAAAAAAAACGAAACGAAACAACTTATTATTTTCAAGATTAAAAAGAATTGGACAGGAAGGAGATTGGGAGGGGGGGGGGGGGGGGGGGGGGGGGGGGGGGGGGAATGGTGGGGTTGAGAGGGAAGGAGAAGAGAGGAGAGCAAAGAGAGGAGTTTACTTAACGAGTTTCTTTCCTTTGTTGTTTGATAATTTGCTTTCTTTTAATTTCCGATACATAAAAACAATGAGACCTTGTTTGACGAAATGTTTTCCTTTGAATAAGTTCATTTGGGTAATAAACTGATAAACCAATCAAGTTCATTGCAAATAGAGTGAGAATTTCCACAATAACCTAGAAAAAAAAAATTTGTTCTTTTATGAATTATAATTTGAAATGATTTGATTAAAAAGATTTAGTTGGGAAAATATTAGCTCAAAATACGGAAAGAACACCGATTCTAATGGCAGAAGAATAAAACGATCTTTTAAAAATCCGTTATTATTGGCGACTTCGTGATATTTCTATCATTAAGTGATAAAATTCTGTGATAAAATTTTTCTGACAAACCAACGACGCACATTTAATTGAGAATGTGTTTTTCGAAAAAAAAAATATTTGATATATTTTTTTAATGCAAATATTTGATGAAATGATTTGCAAAAATAAAACGTTATTCATAAAAATTTATAGAATTTCAAATGTTAAGCACAATGCTAAGGAATCTCTCAATAAGATGGAAAAAATAATGAAATAATATTCGCAATAATATATAGTTTCCCAAAAACCTTTCACATTTTATGGTGAACTCATAACACCAGAAATTTTTCTCCTATTTATCCTATTAAATCAGTTCGTATTTTAGCCACAACAATAGCTAAAAATTATATGATTTTAAAGGATTCCTAAGGATATCGATGAAATATTTCTAAGTGAAAAAAAAGAATCGAGGGATTTCCAAAATAAAATAATAGGAATAATAATAGGAATTTAGCGATAAAAAAACTTTATAGCAGCCTTCGAATGGAAATGCCTAAGGGGAAAAAATAGTGATTAATTATTTATTTGCAATTATAAAAAAAATCTCAAAAATTACTCTAAAAAATTAGAATTCGTTGTATTTAGAATTCAGAGATGTAAAGATGTAAATATTAAATATAAATAAAATAAACATTATATATTATATTATTAATATATTATATATTATATTATTTAATATTTATTTATATTTATATTGTATTATATATTTGTATATTATATATTATATTATTATTTATATTATATTATAATATAAATATAGAAATATAATATAAATGTTATATTACTTAAATTTAAATTTTTCACGATTTTTTTCTTTAAATTACATTTTTATGAAAATTTCCTCTTTCTATTTTAATATGAAAGGTGAAAAAAATTATGAAAATTTTCGATTAATTTCAATTATGTCGACGAAATAACAAACAATAGAGGAATGATGCTTAAGAGAAAAAATTAAAAAATAAGCAATAAATAATATTATTTATTGCGAATTTAATTACAATTCCATTCTATTTTAGGCATTTCATTAATTCAAATTCGATATTTCAATATTTATGAAAATTTGTGAAAAATAAATTTTTATACGCTAGAATATTGCTTTTTTTAGGAATAGAATGGCTCAACGAGTCGTTTGAGTTGATATAAATCTATTTTTTGAAAAATTCGATAAAAAAAATTTTAATGCTAGTAGAGAATGATCTCGTTTTCTTGCCAAATGGCTTCGTCGCAAAAATTTACTATTCTATAAGCTAAAAAAGAGAATCAAATCAGCGAATCATATTATTTATTCCTAAAAAAATATTCTAATATTCAGTTGCGAAAAAAAAATTTATTTTTATGAAAAATATTTTTTCCAAATTCCAAAACAATTAATTAAATTAATTTTGCTATATATAATATATACATTATAAAAAAAATTAATAAAAATGCTTACTTGTTTAGAAGTTTTTGTAGAAATAAAGCGAATAATTATTGCTGTAAAACTAATAAAAATGGCAGCAATAATTGAATGAAAAATTTGTAAAGGCAATAAGGTATAGCAAAGAAATAATAATAATATCGCTAAAGATGTTAATGATGATATTGGTGCAGCGATAAGCAAAATAATACAACATGAAACAATAATCCATGATAATAAAAAATGATCACGACGTTGCCAAATTAGTAAACCAATTAATGAAACGTCGAGAAGAATAAGAATACCAATTGCAAACCAAATTTGATTTGGTATTATTATTAACGTACACCATATTGATAATAATAATAAACATGTGAACGCTGACTGAAAAAAAATATTCAATTAAAATTTTTATTTGGAATTAAAAAAGCCTTAAAGGCCTTAAAAATGAAATATTTCAAATGGGAGGTAGAAAAATATTCTAGAAAATTTGCAAATAGAATTAAATAAAAATTTCAAAATTTCCATTTTTTTTCAAAAATTTCCATGCATACATACATATATTTCTTCTATATCATTCTTTTCATATAAATAAATTATTTCTCAAAAAAAAAATTGAAAAATCGAATAATTTTTGCAAATAATTCTAAACCTTTTCTACAATCAATTATCAGTTGCCTTTTTTTTGCAGATTTGCAAGAAAAAATTCACATTTTTTGCAAAAATAGTTGTAAAAAAAATTTTTTTACATGATTTGCAGAAAAACTCTTGCATCTTTTGATTTATAAAAATTCAAAAATTTAATAAATTAATAAATTTTTAAAATATTCAAACTCGATTGTGCTCGACTAGATAGATTTTTTTTTCATGAACCAAATAAATAATTACTTTCATTTGTAATGGAAATTTTTAATTCAAGAATTTCCACTTGGAAAATTTTCAAATATGAATTTTAATTTTTGCCATTTTTTTTCTCACACATAGAATTTAAACGAATAAAGATCCGAATGAATTTCGGTCAACGTAAAATTTCATATACTAAATCAAATATGATGAATTCACCAAAATTATTACCCTTCTAAATTTTACTTCTAAATTTTTACAAAATTTTCAGTATATTTTTTCGATTCAATTTTATGTTTTCAATTTTCATTCATCGAGCGTTCGAGCCTTTACAGCCATTTTTTTTTAAATCGATTAACATAGGACCAGAGGGAGGATGGATAAGGATAAGGAAATTTTACTGCAAGGAAAAAGTATATGTGGTAAAAAGGTCGTGTAAAGATTGAGGACTATTGATTTTTTAGGAAATTTAATAAGGATAAATGAATAAATGAATATTTTCTTCTATTTATTATATTCATATTCAATATACTCATTGTAAAATTTATATGATTGACATTTATCAAATGATAAGTGATAAGAATTTCGAGAAGAAAATAATGTAAAATAATAATAAATATTAAATGTCAATCATATAAATGAAAAAGGAAAAAAAAATTGAGTATTTTATTTCATATGTATTTATTTCATGAAATTTGAGATAGCAATATCGAGAACGAAATGATTACCTTATTAGAACCAAACGTGTGAAATTTTTATTTTTTCAAAGAGAGGGAGGTTGTGGGGGGGGGGGGGTGAGGAAGATAGGTGAGAGAGCAAAAACTCATAAAAAAGATTGTAAAATATGTTTTGAAAGCAAGTTTATAAAAAAAAGCTATTACGATTATGTTGATCAAACAAACTCTTTGATGTACCACTTCTGAATTGGCTGGCGCTATACTACTACTACTCATATTTTGGTGATAAAGCTATCGATCCCTAACCAAATTTGACAATTAAACAATAAATTTACCCTTAAAAAACGAATCAATACTATTAATTATATTCATTAATAAATAAATAATTAATAATCAATGATAATTAATGATAAAAGTATAAATATAAATAAAAATGAGTTATAATAATAAATAAATAAATTGGTGATAAAATTACTAATCAACATGCATTTTGCGGTGTTTTCTTAATGCAAATTAAAAATATTTTTCATTTTACATTATAATACATTGTAAAGAATTATTTTGCAAAATTTATTATAAATTACAATTTTAGCGCAAAAAATTTATTTTTTTTATTCATTTTTGAAAAAATGTTTCTATCAATTTATTCATTTATTCATAGATTTCGAGAACTATTTTCGAGAATTTTATTTTTTCCGATTAATCACCACAATAAGGAAGATAAATTAGCCAAAAAAAGCCAAAATTAAGGTGTATCAAAGATCAGAAATTTTAAGCCTATAAGAGACTTAAGTCTTGGATAATCTTAGACATATAAGTTCTTTACTAATATAAAAATTAAAAAAAAACTGAGTATAATCTTAACTTAATAGCATGGAAATAATGAAGTAAAATGAATGATGCAATATTAAAGGTCAAAAAAAGATAAAAAGGTCAAAAGGTCGATAGATAGATTAATAATAAAATCACTGAAAAATGATAGGTAATTTAGGGTATCATATGCCACACAATATATATATATATATACATTATTTATAATGGTTCATTTTCTTGCAAAGGTTAAATGCGTTGAAATAAATTTACCTTCATCCTTCCAGTATTCATATGCTTAAAATAAGCCGGATAAAGCGGATCAAGTTGGCAAAGTTGGAAGCATAACGTTTCTTCTTCAATATCTTCTTTACTTAGTCCATCCAAAACTTCACTATCATCGATTCCTAAAAATTTCTCGTTCAAGTTTGATAATTTTCGAGTTCTTTATATCATAAATTATTTCATTTAAATAATAAAATATTTTATTAATATTATCGTAAATGGAAAAAAAACAAAACATCTTATGGATTTTCAGTTATAAAAGTTTGACTGGCTAATCAACTATGGATAAGATTAATGGTTGAGCTCTATGAATTTTCCCTGTTCCTCCATCCTTCTATCCTCCCCTCTCTTCTTCACCTCTCGTGATATCCAAGGGATGCATGAATCGAATGGTAAATTCTTTATTCTTAATTATATATTCTACTGATTTTATTTCAGTGGTAATAAATTATTTTTTAATAATTAATAATAATTATTTTATACAATTTATTGCATTTTTCAAAATTTTTAGATGGAAAAATTTATTATCTTTTAGAACTTCGGAATACTAAAACCTACATTTAGAGATAAATTTTTTTTTAATATCTAGAGAATCCGTAAAAGAAAAAAAAAATTTTAATGACCACTGATTTGGATTATTATTAATGAGCCAACCAGGTTAATTTCATTCTAAATAAACGATTGGAAATTCGATTCGATTGAAAAAAGAAATGATCAATGATCAAAATATGGCAAAAAAAATTGAAGTTTTTTTGATAGCCGAAAGCTTTAAAATAGTAATTTTTTAAAAGTAAAATTTTAATTAATAAATAATTGATAAGTAATTGCAAATTACCAAATTGGGATTCTGTTAACGATTCTAACGCTCGGCTTTCCTTGCCATTCGACATCGTTGATGTCTGAAAAGTAAATATTTATTTGCGTAGCATTTGTGAATTTCCAATATTATTTTTATATTTAAGAAAATATGTAAATAAATATTTATATGAATATGAAGTAAAAAATTCTCAAACATTCAGATCTCTCATAAAGAATGATAGAAGTTGTAGTTAATGCCACCCACAAGGGCTCACGAGAGGATTAGGGGAGGTTTGTGTGTGCATTAAATTTTATGCCATGATTTATTAATTATGGATGAAATTTACCGCTAAAAATCTTCAAGTTAAAGCAAAATTGCTTAATGATGGATTGAAAGAATTTACATTGAAGATATAAAATTTATCTCAGAGAAATAATAGCGATAATAAATTTTTAAGTTGAAAATATATTAAAAATTTAAGATTTCCTTTTTTTTTCTTCTGAAAATTTACTTAAATAAATTAGCTATAAAATAAAAATAAAAATAAAAAATAGAAAATAAAAAATCTTAAAATTGTATAAAATTTGCCTTTTTTATGTTATAAATTGATAAAAATTGTTGGCAGAAATTACTCAAATATGTAGTTGTTTTACAACAATTTTTTATTATGGCATATATTAATTAAATAATATAAATTTTCTGCATTTATCATGTTTTATTTCATTTTTATAAATAAAAATAGAAATTTAAATAATACTTTTAATGAAATTTTTACTTTAAAATGTAAAAAAAATCGAAAATTTATATTTAAATATTTATAAAAATATTATCTAAATAAATATTTAATTTAGTTAAATTTAAAGGTTTCTAAAAAAATTTTTAAGAGAAAATTTTTTTTTTCATTCATATTAACTAATTATTAATGGAATATAAAAATATAAAAATAATTTGCTTATAATAATAAAAAAATTAGAAATAATAGGTTAGTGCTTTAATTAAATTATTAATGAACTTTTTCAACAAAATTATTTATTTTATTGCTAATAAAATTATTCATAAATATTCTACAAATTATTTTTAGTAAAATTTTTATTATATTTTTTTTTTACGAAAATTTTGCAATTTTTTATAAATAAAATTTAAAGACGCCTAATGTCATCTATTATTATCAATTATTATCATTGTTGCCATTTGACGTCTAGAGGCGACCGGAAAAACAAAATGGATGCACGGATGGACGGGCGGACAGACGGACGGATGGATGTTTAAACGAACGGAAGAAACGGTCATCCTGAATTTCTTTCTATGTATCACTGAATAAAACAAATATTATTTATCGATTCTCATAACAACTAATTATAAATTAATATTAATGCTAATTTAAATAAATAAATAAATTCTATCAAATTATATTTAAAAAATTTTCAATAATTTTTCTATAATTTATAAAAAAGTTTGTAAAATTTATTATTAAATTAATGAAAGGACAACTAAATTTACACTTCGATAATTTCTTTCTGTAAATAGCTAAATTTCTTTTTATTTTATTTTTTTTAAGGCGCTCATTATTTATTTCTAATTGAGATTCGCTCCGCTGGTTTCGTTGGATCCAAATAAATTTTTTACTTAGGAAATTCATCAACAATTTAACAATTCACTTAACGATAGAATAAATAGAAGCGGCTTGCTAGCGATATTCGAATTTTTTTAAAAAGGGCAAATTTTGTGTTCTTACAAGAGTGAATTGAAAAGCGAGCAACGCTAATGAGAGTCACAATTCGCTGGGCTGAGCCAATTTTTTTATTTGATTACAAACGAATATTTGGCAAATAATTGTGATTTTTTATTATTTAGTCACATAATTTTTTTTTTTTTACTAACAACTTTTTATTGTTTTCATTTTTTGAATATTTTTTTCTCAATTCATTTTTTTTGGAAAAAAATTATGTGACTAAAAATGTGATTAAAAATTTTTTTTGTAGAAATTTAAAAAATATTAAAAATTTTATCGGATATTATCTAAAAATTAATTTATTAATTTTGATATTTAATATTCAATAAGTTATTTTTATTTTTTTTTTAGTTTATTTATTTTTTGAAATGAATATTTCCATTTTAGTGATTTTATTTCGAATAGCATTGACTTATTGCTCAATGCGATTTATAATAATAAAAATTGTGAAAAAATCGTTTTTTTAATTTATCGTCATCATAGTGTATAGTGTTGAGATTCTTTCCTCCTCCCACTTCCCCCCCCCCCCCCCCCCCCCCCCCCCCCCTCCTCATCGTCCCTCCTTTCTCCTTCTCCCTTCTTCCTTTTCCACTGATTTACCGACCATTTATTTATATAAATAAATTTCTTTAGATAACGACAACTTTAGAAAGAAAGAATTAGTTCATTAATTATTAACCATATTGTATCTTTATTTTCGTCTATAATGAATGAAAAATTTAATTCTTATAAATTTTCTTCCTTCTCTTTTACTTTCTTTAGAAGTTTTTTGCAGAATTTCCATTATTATTATTTATTATCAATATTATTATTATTGTTAACAATATTGTTATTGTTATTGTTATTATTATTGATTATTATTATCATCATCGTTATTATTGTTATTATTAATAACATAATAATATTTAGGCAAAGAGGCTTTTGAAGAATTTAACTGATATTATTATCATTATTATTCGATTTATTAAGATAAAATAAGCGCCAATTTATTTTATTCAAAAGTTCAAAAGATAAATTTTTAAGCTAAAAATATAAATCAGGAAAATAAACAAGTCGCTTTTCATTCTTCTAATCGTTAATTTTAGAGATTAGGGAAAAAATCGTCAAAAATTATATCAACGACGGATGAATCGAACAATGAAATAGCAAAACTGCAAACTTTTCTTACACAATTAAAAGCGAAAAATAAGAAAAAAAAACTGCTTAATAATTATTAAAGAAATAATTATTCATGTTATTATCCAATTTTTACCTTTTTTTTCTACTATTTATTCCTATATTTACCCATTTAACGATTCATTCGTCGTTTGAGTAATTTTACAAACTATTGCGATAAAAAAGGTTATTGACGAGTTACTAATGGATTCTTAGCAATCATTTGAAACAAACTGAAGTTTCGTTTCGATAAAAAGAAATCCGTTTTAATCTAATTTTTTTCGAATAAAAATAAGAAACTCATAAAATGAATACATTATTTAATAATGAGATTTTTTATTAATTTTTTTTTCTTGTTGAAATAAAAATTTTAATGATAAATTGAATTTAATGAAATAAAATGATAAACGAAATAATCAGAAAGAATTGATCTTTATTAACCAATTTGATTTGATAAAATATAATTTTATTGTCAATCAAATGCAAAAAAAAAATCTAGCAAACAATGGGAAAAAAAGAAAAATTTACTCAAAGAAATATTCATGAAAAATAAAATTAGAAAATTTGATATTCTAAAAATTTGATATTTTCGACAGATTTCAACAAATTTTCATTTTTTAATATTTGAAATTTTTTTCACAAATATATTTTATTGATAATTCTTGTCACAACTAATTTCTTATTAAAGTTAATCGAATCTTTTTTCATTTGCTTAATTCGATACATAATATAAAAACAATATAGCATTCAATGCATATATTCGAAAAATTTTAAAGTCATAAAATCAAAAAAATTTTTATCAAAAAAATCAATTAAATAACATAATTATTACACCTGTTGATTGTTGAATATTAGTAATAATAATAATAATAATAACCATCATCATTATTATTATTCTTAAAATTATATTTCTTGTTAGCAATTTTTACGAATGTTAACCAGACAAAAACAAATTTAAGGATATAATTTATAAATTCTTTTTATGAAGTAAATGAAATAAATGAAGCGATCTTGATTTATTTCATGTTCATTTGTGATAATTTTTGATGGATGTTATCAAATAGTGAAAAAGACCAATCAACATTAGAGTTGAAAAAGAAAAAATTTTGAACTTATAGATGGACCAGCAATATACGGGCTTTAGACGATGGAAAAAAACAAGTGGCTTCCATTATTATCAGCTATAGCAACAGATCAAATGCCTTGGAAACGCCTTATCCTTATAACCAGCAGGCTGATATTGGTGAGAGCTGTAAGAAGTTGGGAATTTTAGTAATTATGTTTGGCTTAATTGATATTGAATTGATTGAATTAATTGAATTGATAAGAAATATCTCCATAAAATAACTTTCCAAACAATATAACTAGGTCAAGCGGATCGAAACTACACCAACTAGGAGACCATATTCACCTTGAAATTACATAGTTTTTTTTTTTCTCAAAATAAATTAGAGGAATAGGAATTCTCCGAACATCCAATTATTTCGGTCATTCCTAGAATTTTTCAAAAAAAAAATTAAATAAATCATGAAACATTATTAAAATATACACATATTTTATCTTTTTTATCATTTTGTTTAGTACCAACCATTTATATGTAATATATATGTAATGCGTTCTACGAATAAATATATTCGCACTTAAAAAAAAAAAAATTTAAAAGAAAAATTAAAATTTCTCACAAGCATCTAAATTTTATTAATTTTATTAACAAATTAACAAATTAAATTATTGCCTCACTAATTTCATTCAGCAAATTGTAAGTTGTTCTTCAAAATTTTCTCTAAAATAAAATTTACAATTATTAGAGGATTTCTTGAAAAATAAAGAAAAATTTTAGGTTAACGATTAGGATAATACGAAAATTTTTTATTTATTTGAAATAGCTATCTTTGAATTTTGAAAAATTTTATTAAATTTTATTAATTTTTATAGATTTTATACTAATAATTTCAAAATAAATACATGCATAATATCAATCATTGTGTAAAATTTCTTTCATATTTGCTTTATTTCACGAAAGATCTTTTAAAAACGCTTCGATGAGAAATCAATTTAAAATATTATAAACATTTGATATTTTAAATAAGAATTTCATCGTTGTATTCATATTTCATATTATTTTATATTAGCGAAAATTTATCGAATATCATCCAATTTGTTTCATAGAAAATAAATAAAAATTCCATCGTTGCTAGTCTATT